CTTCGATATTTATTTAAATTAATTGCTTGAAAGTACTTAATATCAATAATTTTTCAAAATTTTCACATATTTTTGATCAGATTAAAAATTTTTCAAAACAATTTCCAATATGCTGTGTTACAATCCTTTTGAATTATTGTAAAAAATTACAAAAATATGCAAATTTTCCAAATTATAAATTTTTATATATTACAGTAAATCTATTTAAGTAATAAAATTTTAATTTTGTAAAAGTGATAATTTGATTTACAGAAAAATAAAATAAAATTTCATTAGAAAAGCTATTCATTACTAACTTAAAAACCAGTCAAGTAAATTGTAAATTATGAAAAAAAGCCAGAGATTAACAGATGCAAAAACAATCATTTTGATGAAGTAGAAATTGCTGCATGATGGTTTTTTTGATTTTAGAAAAAGTATAAACCCAAAAAAACAAAGTATTGTTGTATAAAAGCTATGAAATTTAACGGCAAACAATCATTTGTGAGTGCTTACCATTTACTTTTATTAAAAAATAAATATTACTTTTTTAATATAAATATATGTAGTGTAATAAATAATTTAGGCAATCAAAATTACATAATATTTTCTGCATTTTGTGATTTGCTTAAAAAATTTTATTAAAAATTAAATACTTAATTTTAAATAGGATAAAATTACTGATTATAACGTAACAAGATTGACGTACGATGAAATCAAAGCATAGAAATAATACAAAGTATTATTTTTAAACCAGTAATGAAAAAAATTACTTTTGTTGTTTTTACACTTTGAATATTTTTATTCCATAATAAACAAAAGTATTAAACAAGTAGTGGTAAATACAATTTGAATATTTATAAAAAGTATTTAAATTGTCAGTATCATAAAACGTTAATTAAGTATTTAAATTGTCAGTATCATAAAACGTTAATTAAATATTTAAATTGTCAGTATTATAAAACGTTAATTAAGTATTTAAATTGTCAGCATCATATAACGTTAGTTAAGTAATTAAATCGTCAATATCATAAAACGTTAATTAAGTATTTAAACAAAACTATTTGTGAAACTTTATTTGAGCTTCATTTTTATCACTGCTTGAACTACTGCTATCCACTTTGTTCAAAGTGGTATTAACAGGGATATTGACAGTTTAAATACTTTTGATAAATATTCAAACTGTGAAAGGTTCATAAAATTTTATTAGTTTAGCAGTTAAACAACGTTTATTCTTCGCAGACTATATAATTATCCCTTTCACACTTAAAAACACTATTTTTGGTTAAATTTGAATAGATTTTGTATCAGTTTTTTGATGATAATTGTTGTAGAAATAATTTTCGAAAAGTTGATAAAATTTAAAGTATTTCAAGAATTTTAAAATTTCACATATTCTTATATATCATTCAAAAAAAGATTTCTAAGAAACTGATAGCAATGTATTCACGTACTAAAATATTATCATAATTTGTATATATTAAAAATGAAAGCTAACAAAATTAAACTTTACACTTAGAACTTGAACAATTTTTGGCATTTTGCTTTCTGTGAGCTGACATTTCGTTAAAAAACAATAAGTTCGAAATATATTTATTTTTTGATTCTATTTAAGATTTTGCCAAAAATTCAAAATATAAAAATCATTAATGATAAAATAAGTTTAATCATTATAAAATCCCTTTTGTTAATATTCAAATGAGTTAAAAGTAATAAATGCTACAAAAAATAAATAATTAAAAGAGTGGCACAGAATGTTTATGATCGACTAGTTAAGCTAATCACTAAAAATATCAGTTAATTTCTGATGATCTCAAGCAGCAATATTTCTTTTAACTTCATTATTTCTAACAACTTTAGCTTTAACAACTTTATTCATTCAGCTTTCTTCTTCACGTAACAGATGCTTCTGTATTTTTTGAACCAGCATTTTTTTTAAAATTTTAATCAGTGTTTTTTTTTAACTGAACTAATTATTGACTAAAATTTTTAATTACTGTCAACCTTAAATCTATTAAAAATTAATTAATTTAATTTTGCATATGAATTTTAAATTATTTCAGTTATATGAATGAAAAGATGCAATTAATTAATCAATTAAAATCAATGAAAACTGAAAGAAATTATCAATGTTAGTTAGCATGAACTAGAAATGATTTCTTCAATTCATAGATTTCAAATGATTGCAATTATGAATGATATTTATTTGAATGAGAAAGCACAAATCTGAATTTCACTCTCTTAATTTTCTTCTTTGAAAAGTTGATAAATTTTAGAATATTTCAAGAATTTTAAAATTTCATATGGCCATATATGTACCATTTTAAAATATTCAATTAGAATAATTGATAATTAATTAAATTCAATTAGAATAATTGATAATTAATTAAAGAATAATTAATTGATAATTCAGTAGTAGTTATTAATGACATTCTGTAAGTCAGTGTAAAAAATAAGTATCAGAAGCACCAAATTGATAAATTGTTTTTTTTAGAATTTGACATAAAATTTAGAAATTACAAGAAGGAACCAGTAACGTTTCTGAAAACTCGCGAAACTGCATTAGTCAGATCTTGAATGTTCAAGCTACTAGCTATGGCTTGATCTTCGAAACTATGCAGCTGGTTGTCATGATGTCATGAACCAATATGTCAGAATGTATTATTCTAATATAAGATCAAATTCTGATGAATAAATCAGATATGATTTAAACTATCATCGCTCAGATCATAATAATTCATATCAGACCATTTGAATTATGGCAATGACTTTATTTGTACTAGATATTTTTTTCAAAATTTTTGCTGCTGTAGTCAACATTTATTGCAGCATTATTAATATTATGAACTTAATACAGTCTTCATCACCATACCACGAGACCTACATTATTAATACTACAATTCAAACTTTGCGTAACATGCGTATCCTTCAAGAATCATAATTTTCAAAGACAAATTTGACCACAGCGTTTTCTTTTTAACTACACCCGCCTTTTTTTCTCATTTCTTGTCTTCTGAATTATTTCTCATGGAAATCAGGAGTAGAAAACACTTCACAACATTGCTTTGAACTGGTACAGAAGATCAGATATAAAAATATTAAACGATTAGTGCTAGGTCATTTTAGATTCTTCACCGCCACCGTATTATTACTACTGGTATCTCTTGCATATTTAGTACACTAGTAATGGCTCTCACCATACTTTTTGACCTATAATTCTAATTATTATTGATTAAAAAAAAAGAATACATCGCAGTAAAAGACAAATCTCAGAAAAACAGAAGTTAAATCACTTATATGGTACAATACAGGTAGCGCTCATAACAATCACCCAATGTCAACGTCAGTTTAATTCAACAAATATGATTAGCATTTTATATGAAGAAAAAGAATCTACCGTAGTGGACATCATATTTCTGATAACTTTTTCAAAATTTCTTTTCTGATATTTATCGATTTTTGACATCAAAAAGTTATAAATATATGCCATCAAAAACCTTACAAAATTATCCCACTTCTGAAACAAGCTATTCCCTATAAATGATAAATATTTAAGTGTGAATCAAATTTATCATAACAAAACTTAGTGAGAATATTTGAAGTGTTTCCTAGTCCTGATTCCTAAGATGTTGTTCCACTTGGCAATATGCTAATACTATATTCAAGTTAATAACTGCATGAACAAAACATAACTATGAAGACGAGTTTCTTTATTTGAGACCATAGTATTATTTGCTAAAAAATTTATCTTTCTGACCATACTGCACACGGAGCAGAAAGGTCAAATTCTGATCATATTTATCAATTACAGTCTCTTACTGGTATTTAATGAACTTCTGGAAACATTTCTTTGCCCTAGAAATGGCCATGCATTTCAAATTAACATTGTTTTTTGGTCAGTTCTTGTTTGCTACATATGTGATTATTAGCTCAAATATATAATCTGATAACGAAAATATTAAAGTAAGAATATGCAGATTTTCCGTTTCATGATAACATTAATAAGTTGAACTGTAATTTTACCGTATTTTTCTTTACTGTTTAATAATTGCAAACATTGTGCAATTCTCATTACACAATGGGTTTTACTGTGATGTATTCAGATTTTAAATTGCAGCTAATGAATTATTTATTCAATTTACTAGTTTATTCAATCTAGACTACTATTGTTAGGCTTTCAAATAGACGACGTAGTTTGAATTTTTTATTGGACTTTGTGATATCTTACAGTGAATTTATCTTAGCTGTTGAAGATTATGTAACTTTAATAAGAAGAAATTCTAGCTACAAAACTTACAGAAACTTCAGAAATTTTAGAGTAAGAATTGAACTAAGAGAAGTACTGATTACGAAGACAATTAAGCGCAGAAGAAACGCGGATTCATGATGATTCATAAAATTTGAAAAAGATGCTAACGACACGGGCTAATTAGTCTTAAGTAATAGAGTTGTGTTTTTGTAGAGAATAGGTATTGAAATGAATTGCGAAGAAAACTAACAATCTTTATAAAAGTTGGGTAGGTTTGGAGGTGTGTTGCGATTCTGATAATAATTCAAAGAATTAGAAATATTATTAAATGGTAAATAAATATAACTTTATCGAGAAGCATGACTATGCAGTTGCATAAAATTGGTTTGAAAGTATATCAGATTTGTTGACAGATGAGTCTAGTTTAAAATGTTAGCTTGGAATTTGAAAACAGAACTCGACAGTAATGTTATTTTGTCTTCAAGTTTTGCAGTCAGTACTTCTCTTAGTTGAAATCTTACTTTAAAATTTCTGAAGTGACTTCTAGTAAATCATAGATGCTGAGAAATTATAGTTATGAAGGAGAATAGATAAAAAATGAGTACATTTATGAATTAAAAGTTTTTTTGCAAAAATTTTTGTTATCATTTCTTGCTTACGACAGTTTTTCATCTCTCTTGATCTCTTCTTCTCCGTGTCTATCTAGATTAGTGGCAATATAAGCTTTCTAATAATTTGCATTTTTCAGCTGAGTTTTTGAATCGGCAGGAGGATGCACTTCGTAAAAAAATACCCCTCCACTGCTGAGCAGAAGGCCAAAAAAAAGATTGAAATGGCTGCGAATTTGAAGTTTTATGTCACTGTGAGGGACAAAATTTTCGAAAAGCGAAAGAACAGTAATTTTTGTTTTTATTATTTACTTAAGCCTTATGCACTTCTATTTTATAAATAATTCCAGAATTGTTTTTAAATTTACATTCATCTTACTGATGGGAAAACGGCGTTTTTTCAGTATATAGCTTGAAAATGCTTATATGTGAAAGCAATGATAAGAAAAATTTTTAAGCAGAATTCACTGTATCTTTGCAGATGCATGGTGATACTCGTGAAGTTAGTACTAATTATATAAAATCTAATGAAAATTCAGATTCAGCCCTATTTAGGAATATACGATGTATTTTTCACTTGTTCTTCTGAATATAGATTATGTTACTAATAATTGATGCAAATTTTGTATGATGGGATTTTGCAGATCAGTTTGATAAGGAAATGCTTGTGTTGACGGCTTCAGCATTGGCAAAGAATCCCGAAATATATACGTTTTGGAACATTAGACGGAAAGGAATCGATATACTATTGAAGGTTTAGTGAAGTTTAAAATTTTGGTTCAAGATAGGATGGCAGGAATTCAGATGATAAGAAAGTGATTGCCATTCTCGATTGGCCATTTTTTTATAATTTTGTAAATTTTCATTTATATGATGAATTGTTTATAAATTTATATTGCATTTTTGATCGTTTGGTTGGTCTATTTTCTAATTAATTTTCATGAAATGTAAAAGAAAGGATGTATGAAAGAGACTCATTCTTGTTCTTTAGTGTCTGTGTAGGATTTATTTAGATTTATTCGCTTTATATTCCACCATTTGTTAAGTTATACGAAATGTGTAAATTAATTCCTAAAACTATTGGAAATAACATCTTGACCAGCAGTTACAAAAAAACTAATATTACAACCGGTTTTTACTAAGGAATCAGAACAAAAGAATGAAGAACCTTCTGACAGAGAATCATTAATTCGTGCTGAATTATTGCTGACAGAAACGTGTCTAGAAGTACGTTTTTCGCAGTTATTCATATATAGGTTTTTTTTAAATAACTTTTTTAATGCAAATTAAACATGGTAAAGGTAGTTGTCTCTCTTATTTATGATATTTTCTCATTGATTGAAATATATTTACATCTTTGTTAGTTTTAAGAATTACAGTAAATTAGTAAATTTAGTGAAGTCGAAAGCTGGAATGAGTCGGGTCAGGATAGGTATAAAATGATAGATTTTTAGTTTTACTTTAATTATGTCATGAAATGGTTTTATTAAGAAGAACTGTAAATCGTATTCTGCGTGGTTTCATCGGTTTTGGTGTTTCAAACAGTTAAAGAAACCTGACGTTGATAAAGAATTAGCTTTATGTGAAAAATTCCTATCCATGGATTGCAGAAATTTCCACTGTTGGGATTACAGACGACAAATAGTTCACTTCTTTGATATGCCGTACAGAGCAGAGCTTGAGTAATCATTATATACTTTTTAATCAGAAAGCTTTTGTATCAGTAATTTTATCTAAATTCCTACTCATTGTTTGAAACAGAAGGTGAAAATTCGGTCATTCCTCATTACATATCGAATGACGGTCAAAATTATGAGGCTTTATTTTAAAGTGAGAGTAGTGAACTAAAAATGCTTCATTTTACATTAGATTCTTGAGCTTTTTTGACAGGATTATTATCATTATACTTATGTGGCAGCTATTTACACTCGCCTTTTATGTATATGTACTATTGTAACTTAGGGATAGCAATGTACACTTCAAAATTTGAAACAAATTTTTTTTCCAGGTTTTCAACTAGACTGATCGACAGTAATTTCAGCAATTATTCTTCATGGTATTATCGTTCATATCTTTTACCTATTCTTTTTCCTGATCCTGAGAATCAGTTTATTGTGGAAAAGCAAGCACTGGAATGTGAATATCGAGTGAAGTTTTTCGATGTTTTTTATTGGTTGTTTAGAAATTAGAAGCTAATTAATTGGTTTCCTACTAATACATAATATTTCTTGCATCAGTGAGACTAGCCCACTAATGTTTTGTTTACGAGAAAACCCCGATAAATCAGTTTTTGAAAAATAATATATTTAGCTTTGTTATTTGTGAACTTGTTTCATGGTTTTATAATGAGAAAGTGATTCTTATTAAATAATACCACATTAATATTTTTTGTTGGAACTAGTTGTGTTTATATAGCTTAAGCACAGTTTTTATCGTTTATTTTCAACTAAGTTTCAACTGTTTCAAGAGACTAGAAAATGCTATTTTTGTGGATCCAGAAGACCATAGTGCATGGATGTTCATTGAATGGCTTTTCTTTAGTCCAAAAATATCGTGTTAGCATTTTTAGCTTTCTTATACATTGGTGGTTATTTTATTTTAGAATTTCAATTTAGTTCCCGGCACACTTTTAGGATAAAAAAAGTTCAAAAAAAAGATAGTGGATTATCACAAATACAGTGGCTTTGATTAATATTAGCTTTGTGGTATGTAGTTCAAAAAATGCACTAGACACATCATAAATAGATATAATTTATCAAAAATCTAATAACTTTTCCCATACGTGTATCTATTTTGGTAAAGCTTTTTTTAAGGTCCTCTTAAAAATATCTGTGTATTAGGATTTATATGTGATGTTTGTCAAGGAAACTGTGAGAGTATTATAACGATTACGTTCAGTCATGCTTTATTCGCAAAACATGTGTCCAACTTTCTGCTTATAATTTTAGAAGGCGATGTGCAGTGGGATCCTTCTACGGTATACTTTTTTCTGTTGAGGTTTTCGTCATATATAGTGTAATTCTGTTTTTAAACTTTAATTTCTAATTTAAAATTGCTTTTGAGAAAATCATGCATTTATTAATCAGTCACTTTCAGTGTGATGCTGTGCAACATTTGGGAACTATCTCTTATAGTCTGTCACATGCTTTTAAAATTACTTCCGCGATAAAAGAATGTAATTTACGGCGTTCACTTATGGATCCGTTTAAGATGATCAATATAGAACAGCCTTATTTCAATAAATCCAGACTTTATAATATCTATGAAATCGAATGTGAAGAGCTTAGTGAGCCACGGAAGCAGATTATTAAAAAATTAATGAGAATTTGTGAAGTACTGATTGAGGAACTAGAAATCGATGATAAAAATGAACTTATGAGAGTATGTTTAGTGCTGTTAAAAATTTATAAATACAAAAAGGATTTTTTTTTCGATTATAAGACGTTTATTATGACTAATTTTCTTATAACTAAATTTGACTAAAAATTTCTATATGATCTTTAAGTTCTAAAGAAAATGTGTTCTAGAGCGTCATGATTATAAGAATTTGTAGGTTCATTGACATCTTTATTACTTGACGTGGATGAAAGTTATCTTGCAGTGGCCCGTGCTTACATACACTCTTGCACTGATGAAATTGAATCCTATTGAAATGTGTGATACGATACTGGCTAACTTAAATAAATTGGCGGTGGAAATTGATCCACAGAGGAGTGGTATGTATCTGGAGATAGCTTCAGATATACAAGTCAACAAAAGATTACGTGAGAAAATAAATGGTGTACGAGCAATAGATCTTTTATTTGCACAAGTGTTACAAACTGGTAAGGGGCTGTTGAAGATGGACAATTTGGGTCTGAAAAGGTCAAGTTTTAGTCTATCTTTTGAAAATGCAAAGCAGTTAATTGAATAACAAGAAAGTGTAGAAACTGTGAAAACCAGTCTAATTAGCCAAACACAAGGAAGTTTCTGTTTAACAAGGACAAAAATGCAGAATTAGGACTGAAAAAACACTCATTAATGTCTTATTTTGATGTCATGCAAAGTGGGACGATTGATATCTTGAAGTCTTTGTCATTATCTTTTACATTTTTTTTACTATTTCAGAAGTAACCATTTACAGTATCTTACTTCATTCATTACTCATCTGGATGTTACTGGAAACCAATTTGCAGACCTGCGTGAATTTCGAAAATTTTGGCGTCTAACTCACTTAAAGCTTCATAAAAATCCAATTAACAGGTTGATTCTGTTCAGTTTCGTACTCTGGTGCGTTATACTGTTGTCAGTACAATGTTAGAGAGGGTTTATGAGAATTTGTAACAAGTATGATTTTGTTTCACCCTCTTTTATATTCAGTTTCAATTATTTATTAATCTGATAAAAGTTTCTAAAGTTATTTCAGTTCGGAAGAGATCAGTTTACCTCAGCTAAGCTATCTCGGTACTGATACAGAATCAGTAGTTGGTTCAAGTAATGAAGTTAAACCTGACTGGGAAAAATTTGAAACACATAATGGAGTTGAAGACTGCCCAGATATATTTGACGAATGTCCGGATTTATTAATTTGATAACAAAAAGAAGGATAATGGTATTCGTCAAGAATTTTTTGGAAAACTTTTTTAGTTATTATCGTAATTATGCTTTTGTCAGTTCATATGTTGTGAATAATTGCTTTGCAGTGGATTGTCACAAATTTTAAGTAAAATTTTGTCGTATTCTGAGTTCACAAAGCAGTTCTGATTAAAAATAATGTGGGAGAATTTTCTAGCATTGTTTTACGATTTATTTAGCAATAATTTAAAAATAAATGAACAGTGATAGTCAGCAAAGTCATCTTTAGAAATGAACGAAACACTCTTTATCTTAAACTTTTATTTCAAAATATGTTCATACTCTGTCTGTAATTTTTTTTTAAATGGACTGTAAAACTCTGAAAGTAGTGAAAAAGTGATATTTTAAGTTTTAATTTCATTTTTTCAAATTTTTTAGGATTGCTAGCTTTCATTTTTCTCAAATAATTATATAACTCATATATTTCTGTGAAGTTTTAATATCAAACTTTGTAGGGATAGTGAGGCTTCATTATTTGTTCCTTATTTTATATTATGATTTTAAGCGTAGTAGTTGAAAACAAAGCGATGTAGCGCTATTAATCATGTAAGCAGTTATTTGAAATTAGAGTTGTAGTAAGAATGAAATGGTGGTGAAACGGGTTCTCGTTCGAAGAGGGAGTTTATTTATCGGTGTGAGCTATGTAGGGTACTTTTTACTGCAAAATCTATTTTGCTTTCTGGTTCAAATTAATTTTCGTTGGAACATACATTAAAGCACATTTCATTTCTGCTATTAATGACTTTACTCATTTGCATTAAATGAAAGAAAGTAATACAAGGAGTAGTGGTTATTACAAGACTGAGTTTTATATATTTAGAGAGATATGGGAGCTAGTATTCTGGAAGGGTTAAAAAGAATTTAATAGAATTTGTAGGAATTGGATGGTTATTTCTTTGTTACAAACTCTCATTATATTAAAACATTTAAATAAATTAAGATAAAACAATAGAAAACGGTTAGTCAGTATGCTAAAACTGCTTGTACTTATTACTTGATCAGCTCAAAATCCAGTCTTTGCTGATCTTAGATAAAGAAATCAGTACAAGCCGTTCAGTTATCAAAATATTTGCAAATGTAATTGATGTTTAGTTCACGTTGATAAATTTGAGAGTTTTTGGTTTTCATGTTGATAATGATTAGAAAAATGAATTTATGCTGCATAGAATGGCATAAAAAAGATTTTTTGATATTTAGACTAAACTCTAGACTTTATATTGAATCTAACGGAAAATTCTAAAGCACAAATGATTGATAATAAAAGTGCTTTTACTTAAAAATTTAATCAAAATAATGTTTACTTTGACAAAATGTTGGTTTAAATATCTAAAAATTCTTTTACCTTTTATTGTAAGCAACAGTAGATGAATTTTTAATTTGCAAGACCATCAAAAATTTGAAACTGGTTTTGACTGACACATTTGTAGAAAAGTATAAAACAGGTCATTTTTTCTAAAATGTTAAGAGCATTAATCGTTGGAGAAATATGAATACGAGTATAGAAAATTTGATTTTCTAAATATTTTACTTGCCTTACTCGATGTTAACTTTTGCTTGCAAGTTTTGACTTATCATCATTCTTCCGTAATGATGGCACATCAAGATTGAAATAATTCTTATCAAAAGTTCTGCAAATTTCATATTGCTAGTCAAGCTTAGAAGTACTGATATTAAATATATGTAATCATAACGCTGTTCGTAACTTGCTCAATTTACGTTTAACACGTGTTATGAGATCCCTTGCTCAAAGACTAATTCATTAAGTTGTTTAAAATGATTCAAATTTTAAATAAATTTTATGCAATCATAAACAATTTAATGGATTAATTTACATAATTTTTTACATTTTTGTTGAATTTGAATATGCAAATGTGACTCGAATGATTGAACTTAAGTAACTTCCAAACTTTCCTATGCAGGATAATCCGATCCATCTAATTCAACTCTTTGTTAAACAATTTGCGAACATAGTTTATTGAGGAGAGTGTGTTCCCAAAGAAGCACATTCTCTTTGATTCTATCACTAAACTTTCCTTACATTACTTAATTAGTAAATATATCATGTGTAGCAGGTCCGAGGTTAATCTTCTTTTCTGTCTTTGTGATTCTTGCACTAGGTTGTGTTCCGGCTTTCGGTATTCTTGCCCATGCTCAGCTGAGGTTCTCCTGGTTACCGTACTCTGGTTGATTGTTTTTTACTGATTATCCTCCATTTCTTGTTTTGTCATGCAATTCAACCAGCTACTACCTCAACCTCTCGGTAACTCGGCAGAACAGAGCAATGTATCTATCTATCTACTCATATATATTTGGTTTTGTCAAACCAGTCTGATCTAATATAAAACAAATAATATAACAACCGAAGCATTTTGCATTTTGAACCTCAGAAATATCAATCTTGTGAAAAATCTCTTTTATGCTAAATTAATGAATGCTAACTTTTTACTTTAGTTTAGCTTTTTTAACCAAAATTTGCTTTTTTTTCACATACAGTCCACATTTTTCAAATAAGAAGGATCAAAGGTCACTTGAAATAAGAATACTTCTCCTCTTCTTTTCGTTCTTTACTTTTATTCATTTCCGCTTGTAAAATCTGCATTTCCACCTTGCACAAACTGATACGATTGGGAACAACTCAGATAATAAACTTCTGTCGAACTTAAGTATGATATGATACTTACTAACAAGAATACTTATTCCATCACAGGCGTTACTAAACGGATAAGCTTAACTACATTACTTAAATACTTCAAAAGTGAAATATTATAGATGTTTTTACGCCTATTTATCATATAATTTTTATTTGATAATTCCCGATAACAATTGCCTTGACCGTATTTGTTGATACCAACACCGTCTATGTATTGAACTGATAACGCTCGACAGTATTTGCTTCAGTCAAGTCATCAAATTTTGAATAATGATTTTGGCTTAACTTGATTTGATAATTACTCAATTTTATCATAATCACCGATAATGACTGTTGTATTTATGAGTTCTAATTACTTATAATTTACAATTTATATATTTTGAGAATCAATGCCCAAACAAGAATTCGAATTTATTGATTTCATGGGACCACTAGCTGCACCTTTTTGCTTCGTTTTATTATTATTTGTTTTATCAGTCATTATCAATTTCACTTGCATAACAAAAAACGACGATCGAACGATTTTTGAAAAAGTTAGATTCTTTGTTTAGAGTGCTTACTTATTTTTGTTTGCATTTCTTAAAAATATAACACTTACATATTTGTTTCCATCATTTGTACATTCCTTACTTCTTTGAAGTACCATTTGTTGATATTAAAATGAATGTGATTGATCTCAATTTCCAATGATTGTACAGACTCATTGAACTGATAATATTTGGTTTTTTTAATTTCAAATACAACTTCGCTAGATAAATATGCCTATCACTTACAGTGAATAATTAGTAATAAATAAAAGTAATAATAGCAAGATCAAAATTATCTCTCTCAATAAATTAGCAAGCACTAAAATTTTGTAGTTCGGTTCAAAATTCGATCTCCGGTGCGGCGTACACAGGATGCGACATTGTCCAGATAAGGTTCAGTTTTATTTGCATAAATCCTCCACAGTTCTATCACAATGCAACTACTACAACACATAATTTCATTGTACAAAGTCAATAATAGTTTGTGTTGCATTTTGTTATATCCTTATCTTTTTATGCATAATAATAGCAAGGAAAATAAATAATAAGGAACAGTCTCAAATCATTTAGAAGCGAAATTCTTGTCGTAACTTAGTCAAATTTTTTTCTTCAGTCATTGAAACGAGTTCGGCTCATTGCAAATGAAGACGTAAATCAAAGCGTTTGAACCAATCAAAGATGAGAAATATACAATTCAGCAATTGTACACAGCTATCTTAATATAGCTCACCGAATGATCAATCAACCTTTATCACCACTTATTTTTTTTGTTTGTTAACAGTGATCTGATAGAACTATGATGGAAATGAGAGCAAATAAAGCCGTGACAAGCACACTTTTGCTAGCACAATATGAGGGTTTGAAAATTTTATTGTAATGAAGATCATCTCACTTGCATATTAAATAAACTATATTCGAGAATTAGTAAAACATGTGAAGTTGATAAGAGAAATATCATGAAACCGCACTGCATTTCCAGAAATTAACAAGGTGAAGTACTCAAACTGTGGAGTTTCAACATGATGAAGCAGAATTATCTCATAAATCAATACAAAGTAAAAAACATTGCATATTAGTCATTCTGAGCCATAATAACAAATAACTTGTTATCAAACGAGGTAAATAAAATTCATAATAAAAAACACACTACACTCAACCTACCGGTTTTCGTAAATTCATTCAATAACTAAGGGGCGACGAAAATGCTATCAACTCAGTTCGTTCTGAAAGTATTTTGCAAGATTTCAATGCACTCTGCACTTTGGTAATTTTAATAATCTTGACAAGAAAAAGGTCAAATTTATATCTTAACAAATACTAATGATCGCAATAAAATTTGAAGTGAAAATAGTTCAGTGACCAAAAAACTTGAAATCAACATTCAGAAATCGTAGAAGAAAGAGTTAAGAGCTGCCACAATATATTTAATCTACAATAGTATAAAGACTTGCAGCAAAAACGATATCTCTCTTTATAGCTGTTGATGTATCTTGCATTTTTTCATATAATTTAGGATCACCAATTAGCCGTGCAGCACTTCGCACATCACGACACAATTCATCTAATCGTTGAATGCAGCGCACTATCAAGCCTTCCTGAGCATCTGTCAGCTTCATAATGTCAGCGAACGGCTGAATACACAAATTAACTAAAGCTGTGACGATTTCTTCTACAATTGTAAATATGATTTCTTTTTAAATGCTGATTAAAGACTAACTAAAGATTAAATTTAAAAAAATCTCAAAATGCAAAGACAGGTTTTGAATAATAATGTCAATATCAGAAATTAAAGTTTTCGAAAAGTATAGAATAACAATGAAAATTTATAAAAATCATGTAAGTATCAAATAATTCAATAACTTTACCATTAAATTGGCCCATTCATATACAACATACATCAAATCAAAGCTCAGTTCCTCAACTGGGTTAATATCTTTGATACCACATTCTTGTTGCACTCTTGCTATTCGATCACATATTTCGATCACATCATTTTTTAGCTTTAACAAATGAAAATATTAAAATCATGAATTAGCTATTATCTTAACACCAAAAACTCATGAAATACCATTTATTAACCATACAAATTCTTTTTTCATTCAAGGAGAACAGCACTCGCTTACTTTACGTAAATTACATCTTCGCGATTAAACCTCTTGTGTTAAGCAATATCTTCAGTTGAAGCAGTTAAAACTGTCTTACATCCTCCAACACTGATGGTGGTTGAATCGTCGTCTCTCCATTTTCGTTCTCCTTTTTGTAATAAGATTCCTTCACTTTGTGCTGAGATGTTGTTGCTGAGAGCATCGCAGCTATTTCAGCAGGTGAACGATATTGGAATTTGTTGTCCAGTATTAGTTCAGTTATGATCAATTCCTGCAAAATATTTCTTTACACACTTTCATTTGAATCATAATGCATAGTGACATGCAGAAAAAGTCCACAAAAGTAGTAACTAAAATGAGATGCAAGTTATGGATAGCAAAAATGAGAAAACGCAATACTTGATGATGGATCTCACATGCCACTCGACCTTTTAAAGACACTAAATTGGAATCGTCAATGTAGTGCAGCCTGCGTAAGACCTAAATATTATTGAAAAACAGTAACAAGAAGAATGCTTGAAAGCACAAATAGATCAATAATTCAAGTTAACCAAGGTAAAGCTAATACATTGATGCGATCATTATAATCCTGCGACAAGATCAATCCGCCAGATGAAAGACTTATACGAAGTTCATCACACTTGTCTTGCATGTTCCTTTTTTCACAAACATATGTAAACTGAAAATTTGTATCAGTTTTCTAAAGCTTAACATAGAACTTCCAGTGTATCGCTGTGCAATTACATTTCACTCGAGTGAGAATACCCTCCATAACTTTTCATAAGTATGACAGAACTTTCAAATGAATGGACATCGCTTAAAATGAAAATGTTCTTTAATTGAAAATTTTACGAGTTTTTTAATCTATAAAATTGCTGATACACAACCAGAATAGAAATTAAAAATAGAACGCACATGCTCCTGAAATAATGGACACTGCTGACAAAAATAAAGCTGATCGTTTGTAAGAGCACTGCGAAGGTCATTCAAGTGTAGCATCTTTTGCAGAATTTCAACATTGTTAACTCGAATATCTTGTCCTGGGATTTTTAAATTTCTCTTTCTCTTGTTATTCCAATTGTTTGCTATATAATCAATTTCTCTCACCACTTTCATTAGAGACTGATCTGGTGGATTCTTTCTGCAACAAAAAATTACGTTCGATAATGTTTTTGTAAAATGCAAATAATAAAAAACGGTTATGACAACAAACATGCAACCTATGTCTTACGAAAAAAGATATGCAAATTTGTTTCAGAAGCAAATTTACAACAAAGTTCATAGAATGCTTCTAGTATTGATCAGCAATGAAAAACATACCTGTTTCTCGGATGTTCCCTTGCTTTTAAATCTTCCATTACATACTCCGGACAGATTTTCAAAGTTTTATCACAAATAGCTATTAAATTATAAACCGGAACACCAACTAAAACTCTGTATACTCGTTTTGTCTCATCCAAAATGTTTTGCTTTTGAAGACCATCAAGACCACAGAATGCAGCACACTGCATTAAACACGATTCAAAATTCTCTTGCTGCCTCTACAAAAAAGTCCATTGTAGAAACAAAACCTCATCTCAATACTACTTTAAAATTGCAAAGAATTCTGAGATTATCTAATTTTCATGATCACCTGATTAATAGATTCTGCTTCATATTCTTGCCAATCCTCATCAACTGCAAGTAGTAAATCCATTTTCACCACGCTTTCATCCATTATCATCTTAAAACAATTTCAGGTCAGCATCCCAAGTAAATGAACTGTCGAAGACTCCCATTTAACTAATGAAACACGAATATGAAAGCGGAAGCAAAAAAAAACTCAATTCTAGTATAATGAAGTAGTTTCCGTCTCTCTAGGAATGCCTTTACGTACCTTAAGAATAACCGCTAGCGTGCACATTTGTTTACTGTTTGGTAAACAAACGATTACCAAACGTCCGGGTAACATGACTTTATCAGTAGATGATCGAAGCAGTTCTGACCAAGAATCAGCTCGATACCGTAAAAATAAACGTAACTTATCATAATAATCCAAAATAGAAATGTCTGCGACAGGGAAACAAGTTTTGCAATCAGGATCTATTTTAGATGCTAAAAATTCCTCCGTCTGAAACAATCGAAGTAACTTTTTTTTCGATGCTGAAAAAATTTTCTCGACTTTGTGACAAGTATGGTGGATTTTCTATCACTCAATCAGTTCAAGTTGTAGTCAAAATTTTGAGTGAAAATTGGTAAGACATTAAAAATGTCAATTTATGTCAAAAAAAATCTTCGCATCAAATTGGACTTTATTGTAATTAGGTGGGGTAAAGAGTTTAAATCTAGTGTTTTTTAAGAGAATATTTTTATTAATTGGGATCAACAGAGACTCTACAATTTATGAAAAAAATGATTAACAGAGAAGTATTAATCAGATTAATTTTGAAAGCTATCCTCAAAAAAATATTCCTTCTAATGGTTATATGAGCCATTGTTGCTCAAAATGCTTATCAAAACCATAAGCACATTACCTTCTTTAAATACGATTTCCTAGCCAATCCCTGTCTTAACGATGCACTTTCAACATAACTTCTTTGTAACATGTCCTCGATACTTAATTGTTCCACCCGTAATAGATTGAGAAGCATTGAATAAGTTACTTTAAAATGAGACTTCAACTTGATAGGCCTGCCCTGTAATAATTCAATGTACAAGTAAACAATCGACTGATAAAAATACATGAAAAAACTGAAAATAGTATTAAGCAAAATAATTTATATCAAATAATTTTGGTCCATCCTGACCAACAAATGATTACTCGTATTTAAAGTTTTAATTTTGTCAATCAATTTTCTAAAAGATTTCAAAACTTCATTTAATCATTTTTTCTTCACAAATTAAAATTTTATACACCGGATATAATATTTGATTTGTAAAGAGGTATATGAACGAATAAAATCATACTTGCATACAATTAACCAAATCAAGATAATTGGGCACGTAAGAACCTTTGCAAAGAACAATTACAGTTCCTGTGTCATCCAAACCTCTCCGACCTGCTCTACCAGCCATCTATAAAGTTTTCAATAATCTCAATAAGGAACTAGCCTCGAACAAGATATTTTAATAGTGTTAACTCAACAATAAGAAATAAATAATTAACAGTGAAATAGATTAATTAAAACAACATCATTTGACTTACTATTTAAATACATGATCAAATGAAAAATCCCTTAGTTGATAATGATATTAACTGTACTCATACACCTAAAGTTAGTGCTTTCAACATACTCAAAAGCTCACAAAAAACATGAAAAGTTTCGCTTTACATCTGCTTTTAAAGCCAATGATGAACGACGACAATTACTACTTTGGATGAGAAAAATAATGAACAAATTCACTGATTACCTGGATATATTCTCCAGGATTTAACATACGCAAATTTCGGTTATCGTGCTTTGTCAGCGAGTCAAAAATTACTGTCCTCGCCGGCATGTTGACACCCATTGCAAATGTCTCTGTTGCAAAGAGCACCTTCAACATTTGTTCATATTTGTCATTGCATAATTACTAAACATAAATATAATCCCCAATTTTTGTGAAATGAACATAATAATTTGCACCTATTCGTTTCAGATTTGAATAACCACCACAAAACTGTGCTTTAACAATTAAAAATCTGAGGTTAAAAGCAATACGTAAATCTTTAATAAAACTACTTGGTAGTAATAGAAAATTTTGAACCTATAAAAAGTGCATATAAACGTTGGACTGAAAAACTTTTACATTTTAAATAAATATTCATTCTATCATTTAGAAACCTAACTGGATTATGATAAATATCTCTACTGATAAAACAAATAAATACCTTGACTAAACCTTTCTGAAAAAGCAACTCAACTACTTCCTTCAAAATTGGCAAAATACCACTATGATGTATCGCAAAACCACGCTTGCACAACTCGATCATTTGTAATACCTGAAAAATTAAAGCAAAAATTTTTCAAAGACAGAGAATATATATAAGGCCACAAAAAAATTTTAAATTAACCTGTGGGAGATTTTTGTCAGAGCCTTGTAGACGTTCTATGCATTTCGAAAAAAAATGATGTATATCAGATTTTTCTTTTTGAGAAGTCAAATCAACTGATCGTAGCAAATAAGCATTTTCATCACACCTGTATTATAATTTCAGAAACAAATTTGAACTCAGATAATCCAGAATGAAAAAATTATTGAAGTTGAACTGCACAAAAATAATAAATGATTCAAGATAAACTCCACTTTTTAAAGTAGTCTTTGACTAATTCAGGAGAATAATAAAAAAAACAAACAATTCATTACTTATCAGATCAATTAATACTTACTTTAAAAGAAGTAAAAACAAAAAACCTGCGTCTTGAGAAGATAAACACAATAACCGGCAACATGCCTTGCATGCGTAGATGATCGATGACTGTTATATAGATATTTTTGAACTGAAACTCCTTGAATATTAATGTGAAAAACATATGGAGCGCAGATCAGTAGCCAACAAAGCAATTTATAGAAAGCACTAAATAAAAAAATTGATGTAGAGTAAGATGTTGAGAAATTGAAACGCACTAGTTTTTGATTCGATCGATAACCATGAAGTCCACTCTTTGCAACTGTTTTTCTTATACTTTCTTTTGCTGCACTTGCCATAGTAAATCTTAAAAATAAGGTTTTTACATTTCTAGTGAAATCACCTCATCTCAGTAAACAGCAGTGCATTTAAAAGTTAAGTTACTGTGTAACTTCCAAAAATCAATATACAAAGCTAAGAAGAACCATTTCCACTTTTTCATATGATACTTCACAAGATCCCTATAAAAGATACTTATCGAGAAGAAAATGATATTCTCCATAAAATGAGACTTCATATATTCCAAATTTTCATTGAAATCTCTGATATTTAATTTACAGTAAACATAGTTGTTTTTTTTTTGACAGCGTTTTAACTGTTTTTACACATTAATTTTCAGGAGGTTTCAGATAATAATCACAAAAAAATTATCAAACCCTCTATGCAAAAATTGTCCTTTGCTGTTAATAATCTTGAACATATCCTTTTTAGTTTTACCATCTTGTCCCGTATACAAAAAATGCTCCAGAGGTACTGGACGCCGTGCAGTTGTAATCACATATATGTGCTTGTTTTTAATTCGTCTAAAACATTTAGAGAACAGAATGAATGAAATATACTTTCAATACATCTAGGTGATTGCAATTGCAACTTTCCTTATAATATTTATGAATAATCAAATGCCTGATTATGCTGAAAAAGACAAAAATTTACCCGACCCAATCAGCAAATTCAACACAGTTAGGCACAGTAGCACTTAACATGACAATTTTAACATGTGCTGGTAGCATAATTAGTACTTCTTCCCAAACATGACCACGCTGAAAAATTATTGCAAAGGGTTCAAAACTGTTGTATCATTTTGCTACATAGAGACTACACTTCTCCATAGAAAATGGAAGTGTCATTGAGAATTTCTAAATCACGACTTTAAATTGATTACTACAATACCCAACATGGAATGAAATCGGTTCATCGACAAATTGATTGGCAAACTGAGTCGAAGACATGTAGCAGAATTGAGTCATTATAAAAAATTTTTTCATGAGCAGTTTTAATTTGTAACTGACTACCAAACAATTCGCTTAATCAAATTTCTATAACCAAAGAAAATGTTGCACTGCAAAAGTGGCATACAACGAATATTATAACAGACCTCTGTATCATTGACATAATGGACTTCATCAAAAATAACCCACTCTAGTTCCCGAATGACTTCCGATCCATTATAAAGCATACACCTATGATGCGACAACAAACATAAGTGAATATATCAGTGAAAAAAGAAGTAATAAACCAACTCATTTTTATAACAGACTAATCTAAAAAAAGGTTGTGCAATCATGAACAAACTCCGAATGTGCATAAATAGTACGGAGCTTAATTGTGACAATTCAACTATGGCAACTACATTTGCATTATACCTTTTGCAGCATATAAGTTATCATAGTTATTTTAAGAAAATTTTATAAAATGATATGCTTTTCTGCAGTGATATCAAAGAAGATTTCTTATTTAAACCACCTTTCTTAATTGGACAACATGTATAACTATACCTTAAAACTTCAGTAGTCATTATGAGACAAAATGCTTCAGGACGCAGCTGTATATCACCTGTTACAAGACCAACATCTTCGAAAATATACTTGAATTCGCGAAATTTTTGATTTGAAAGCGCTTTTATTGGTGAAGTATATATTGCTCTACAACAGCATCACATGAAAATTAAATTGATGCTTAGCATATATATATTAATGTGAAAAAAAGATTTCCACAGTTATTTCAAATATGCCAATAAAGACAACTTAATAACAAGTTAATAAGCGACTGAAATTATTTTGTTCATATCTATCATAAATTTATGAATTTTAAAGGTAAACATATGATAACTACAACTGAATAAGCCGCATTACCTTGTTTTATGTACATCACATAAAGCAACAGCATATTCAGCAACGACTGTTTTACCAGCCGAAGTATGAGCAGCAACAAAGACCGAGTCCCCGCGATCCAGACAAATAACTGCCTGCTGCTGGAATGGATCCAATTCGAATGGATACTAAATATTGAGCTCTATCAATAAATTATAGGAAAATACTAACTATGAAAACCCCAAATCAGTACTGCAGTTGATGTGAAACCTTCAAGAGACAAAGTTGTCAATGTGGTGCCATAAAGTTTAACAAATCATCGAGCTAATCTAATACCTTAAACACAGATAATTCGACAATGTGATAACTTTGAAAAAGCAAAAATTGAATAACTCAATCCAAAATGTATTTTATTACCTTTCTAGCCATTCTAATCCTTAGTTTTTCATATTCAGGCACACTCTTAGATGTATCCAAAACGTGAGCAAATGCATATTCTTTATCATGCCCTTCATTACCATCCTCTCTACTCAAACATGGTTTATCCTTGTCCAATGCTACGACTAACTTCTGAAAAAAGAATTATAGCAAGCCTTAAATATTTTAAAACTGAAGATCATCTGAGAGCCAATTTAAGAGACTTCTTTCTAATGATTGTTTACATCTGATTTGACAAAAGTCATGCCATTCAGTTCTCCACTGTTGTCATAGACTTCAATCTTTCCTTGCCAACTTCTTGACATCATTTATTATGTAGCTTAAAACTTAATAACATTTTCCTAGTGGCTTCGATCAGATAAGTGAAATTTATTTGTGAAATTTTAAATTATTACAAAGTAATGAAATATGCCTAAGTGCAGATTTTTTTTGATTCAACTTCTTACACTGATAAAGAGCAACAGAGTAGCTTAACTAATCTATTAAGAAAATGAAACCAATAAAATACAAAGTTAATTCCTAGTAACTGAATCGACTAAAAATGACTGAACTTGAATTCTCCGTTTCCTGAATTCCTAGTTCCTATCTTTCTATCCAAATATGATTGGCAATGAAACCATCCAATCTACTTCGTAACCACAAAAATCTAAAGTAATATAACCTCAATATCTTCGTTTATTTCTGCATCAACTTCGGACTCATTACAAACATTACTGATAGAAGAGTCATCATTAACTTTTCTTGAGGTATCATCGAGATCTGTTACATTGAATGTTTGAAATAAGTCTGTCAAATTATCAACAAAAAAGTTTTCTCGTTTGCATACATTAATATCAGACAGTGTTAACCCGTCACCAGTCAATCCAGGAGCAGTGAAAAGTAAGCCAGACGTTGAATACTCTACAATTCAATTAAATAATACATTAAATACTGTTTTGTGGGAAAAAAGTAAAAAAAAAAAAAGAAGGTAAACAAACATAAAAAATTACTAAATACATTTATATGCCCTTGTTTCTGAAACTGGAAACAATCTCCATCTATAAATGAAATAATTCTGAACTGGATTAAAAGTTAATCCTGTTTCTGAAATTATATTGAAACTATTTTCCAATATCTGAATTTTTACACTTATTTCTAGAACTCTAAGATTACATGATGAAACTAAAAACCTCATTTATAAAAGAGAAAATTTAATAACTCTGGATGAGAATCATTTTGAAACCATACCAGTAAAATCTAAATATTTTTCTTCTTCTGGATCTCTGTCTGCCGTCTCACTGATGTCAATTAAACGAAAAACATTCTCAATGTCTTCTTCAAAACCACCTGAACAAAAAACAGCAACCGTTAAAGACAAATATGTCAAACTCCTATTCGAGTTCCAAAACTCCCAACATATAAAGATACCTATTGAACAAACATGAAAAACTTTATGACGATTAAGTGATGAGTGAATATCAAACTATTGCATCAAATGAACAAATATAATATCCAGTAAATAGAAAAAGGACAATTTCATTATACCGAATTTAAGACAAATATTTTAAATACTTGAAAAGCAAACAAAAATATATAAAACAACAACAAAATCAATTTTTTATAAACCAATATAAACATTCACCTGGAAAGAACGGAACGTTGCTTGCAGAACCCATGAAATTTGAGGTACTATTTAGATCAGGAGTTCTAAATTTTATTTGAATGATTGGTTCGTTTTAAAAAAAAGCAAGACAGAAATGACAGTATAAACAAGTATGGAAGAATAATTTTTTCCCTAGGTTAATCCTTTATTGAGTAAATAAAGCAAAACTAGCACCGAGTAATTTATATTTCCTACAGTTTTGCAATAAATTTCTTATACCTATTAAGTGACATAGACGTCCTTGAGTCTCCTGCGTCTATATCACCACTTATATACACTTCAACAAAGCCAGTGATATCTCCTGTCTTTGAATCTTGTAATGATTGTATTTCCGAACTTGCTGTAGAAATTCTCCAAGTGTAATTTTTCAGGTCCTCAATATCTGATAACGGCTTCGGCACCCTTAAGTTGCTTTTTTAAAATTTCTTACCACAAAACTCAGTATTAAAATGAATCGTCTTTTACATTAGTGATAGTTTACGATTTTACTAGAAGCAGTGAAGATTTGGTTTAAATTGAATGAAACTGGAAGCAACCTCCATCTACAAGCAAAATGATTTCGAGCTGAATTTCAGATTAATCTAGTAGGTAATGCAACTTCTCATATATCGAAGAGATGAAACCAGAAAACAAAACAATGATATTTTTACTGAAAATTACATTCCGATCTTCCAGAGCATTATGTTCAATCTAATTTAATTACAAAAACATTTTCGACAAGAATAATTCGCTGCAATGAGAGTATATCCTTAAGCAAGCAAACTATCCAACTTCAAATCCTTAGTATTCACTTCAATTTTTAAATCACAGTCGTACCAAAGACTGAAAGCAAAATACTGTTTCTCCAAAAAATTCTAGCTATATTATTTATGGCTTCAGAAATTCCACTTAAATATCTAATATACACTCAACTGTTAATGACAATATTAGTATAGTAATTGGTCACCTGTAAGTTTCTGAAATGTTATACTCTTTGCAGTGTTTTGTAATTAAATTCAAAGCAGCATTCCGAAATACATGTTCAGCCTCCATCTCAATCTCTTTCTCCAACATCTCCATATCCTCAGCGTATTCTTCATTACGCACTGAACACTGATCCTTCCTTACAAATCCACTTCTACTCCCAAGCCATATGTCTGAGCTCATCTCAATTCTATCTCAAAACTGATAGTAATACACAAAGTAAAAACTTCTACCTGTTTTTATTTCCAGATATTTAAAATATAAATCAGAAGTAATCTTCACAAAAGCGACAATTTCAAAATAATTTGCAAACATTTTAGCAAGTTTTAAATTTCCATACTCAAATTAAATTTGTACTTTACTTGTATGCAAAGTTCATACTTACATATCACTTAATTGCCTTCCGTTGTTGAATATTTAACTCCAGCAGATCGCCTCCAAAGCACACTTCGCTATTTCAGGATGCATCAAGAATCATGACTGAATGAGAATTCTCTCCTTTCCTCACCAAAATTGTTCTTAATTTTTCATCAAACCTTTTGTCCTTTTAATCGTTGTATTCATACTATTTCTTTCTCACGAAAAGCTCGTTCAAAAATGTTGAACTCAATTTTAATCATATCATTTTTGTAATCAGTGCTAGTGATTAGATGATAATTTTGGTCGGAGACTAAATTTTATCCCACAGAATTTTTAACTGATAATGAACACAAGAATCAGTAATTTAAGCTCCACTCATAAATTATTAAAGAGCTCAATTTTCCTTGAAAACTATATCTTGCTTAATCAAGTAATTTATCGCTATTTTGAGTAAAAAAAATATTCAAATCAAGTTATTCAAGAATTTTAGAACCAGATTATGAATTTATGTGGAAAGTAAGTAATCTTAACATATAATAAAGACTAATTCTTCGCTCGTACAAAAATTTATCCCTGAAAATGCATGTAATTTGCTTTCAAACAGTTTATGTTTTCGCTAACTCCACCCAAAATTATTATTTTCGATATTTGTGACTTACTGTAATTCTTTTAAAAATTAAATGAGATATTAGTATTTTAATCAAAATTATTACTGCTGTTAATATTACAAACTGAATTAAACGTAGCAATATTCAAAACAAATTTTCATATTCAATATTGCGTGATCAAAAATGAGTGTTTAAACAGAATTATCTGTTTTCAACTGTAGTTTTTTGATTCTTAATTTCCAGTTGACGCTTTTCTCTAAGTATCCTTTGTTTCAAAATTATTCAGCTATTCGAGAAATTTGCATCAGTTTTGGAAACCACAAGTTATTTTTGATTAGATGAACCCATAAGTAAAAAGTAATTTGTGTGCTGAATGCAAATTCCACTCCTATCAAGTAATATCAAATTTGTGGCTTTAAGTTGAAAAATAATATCATTTCAAACTGAGAGAAAAATGAAAAAAATAAATGCTCTTTTAGAATTAAAATACATAAAAGTGCCATAAAATTGTAGTACGACCTAATTTTTTTGCTCTTTCAAACATTAGTTATGAATTCTATCCATAAATTGTAAATGCATAATATCAAGATTATAATTTAAAAATTCATCAGTTATGCAGTAATTCCTTTTCAGATTCTTCCGTATCAGCAAGACCAACTTGAAATCTGCAAAGTTTATATAAACTTTGAAGGTTTTATGTGAAATAAATCTTCGGTATATTTGATAGGAAGTTTGAAACTGATTTTTATCACTCTAAAATTTCAAATTTTTAGTAATGGCTTATCAGTTTGCTGTAAATTTAAACTTGTACAAAATTATAGCACAAATTACCTTTTATATTTAAATTTGTTCAACTACAGTAAATAGTTTGTACAGTAAATAGTTTGGTTCATGAAGTTCAGTTATATACCATATGTGCACAGTATCGAACTAATATAAATTTGATATTTAAATCGAACAGATATTCCATAATAGAATAAATTCAATATCATATTTTCATTCTGATTCAATATGAACAAATATTAATTAAAAAAGTTGGTGCCACTTTTTGCGCTTTTTATTTTCAAAAACGATTTTATGAGTGACATTAAATTAAGAGCATGAAGGCGTAGTAGAAAGCTCTTTGAGTTTTTTAAGTTAGCATTACTTTTTCATCTACAAGTTTGCTCAGTATTAGCATTTTGAAATTAATGCAAGCAGCAAATTTTTCGAAATTTTAATTTTAGTACAAAATTCATTTAAATTTATTTTAGTACAAAATTCATTTTTTACTGATTACATTTTTGTAATTTTAATTTTGTAAAATTAACTAATTTTATTTATCCAACAAAAGTTGAAAAGTTGAATTATGCATTATTTTTGGAATATTACTTTCAGACTAAGAACTATGACTGCATTTTGATTAATAACTATAAACTAAACAAAGCTGGCTGTCCAATTTTTTACTTGTTGTGGTCATTAAGGTAGAGTTTAAACTTGGCAGAACTTATTCAGATAATCACGAAAAATGGCAGCAAATAAGTAAGTTCTGTTTCTGTTTTTGATTTCTAAAATTTTAAATGACAACTACACTTTGCAATAAACCAATGAAAAGAAATATTTTAATTGTTTCAATTTACATTTTCTTCAATGCATTGTATATGTTTTAATTAAAACTAATAAAGAAATTGAGCCATAACAAAACTTAAATTAAAAATTTACAAATTTGTAAGAGGTAGAAATGCGTTATGCTAAACTTTTACTTTTCAAAGTTTATTAGATAATGTGATCAGTGAAATATAACTTATTACTTGAATAATTTAAACTAAATTTATTACTAAAAATTAAAATCTGCATTGACATATTTTGATTAGCTCTAATCCGTATTGTTTTGTTGAGCTTTCACTTTTGACACTTATCAAAAAATTGCATCACAACTTGAAACACGCTTGAAAAATAAAATATAAATTGGATTTTACTGATTAAACAAATTTAGGCCAAAGTATTAGTGTAAAGTTAAGATATTCTAGCATATTTACAAAAGATTTAAGTCAGTTTCAAGAAAGTTTGATTTTTGCAGTGAAGCGAATTTGTATATTGAGTATTCAGTGCAGGAATTATTTGCCAAAATCAAAGTTTTTTCATTTTTCAAATGGCAAATAAAAACTACCATATTTTTGTAACATTGTACTGAACAAAATATTATAAACATAGCAAACACTAGAAAATTTTTGATAGTATTTCGTCTTATATAAATACTAAAATCAGATATTAAATAGTATCGCTTTTGATTATAATATTATTATCGAAAATATTAATACTTGTATTCAAAGTGAAATTAACAATGCTAATGACAGTAAATACAATAGCCATAATATGGCTTTTTGTGCTTGAAATTAGTAACTTATACTTACATAACATTATAAATTTTACTTTAAAACGAGTATTAATATTTGTCTTAATAATATTACGATCATAAGCAATGCTATCTCTTGTTGCGTACGCTTAATTACTGATTTTTGTCTCGATACCAATGCAATATTTTATTATTGTACATACAGTACTCCAACTTTTTCATTACCCAAAAAGTGAAAGAAATATTGTTAAGCACATACCTAATTAGATGTTTGGAAGATTTTGAAATTTAAGACTCTGAAGTAATGAATGATTATTTATGCTAATATCCTCAAAATATAGTATATAATTCAAACAATTTGTACTTAATAAATTATTCGAATTACATACTATATTTAGAGGATATTAGCAATTTGTACTTAAATATTAAAATATTCAATTTTGTATTTAAATAAGTTACTAATTTCAAGCACAAAAAGCCATATTATGGCTATTGTATTTACTGTCATTAGCATTGTTAATTTCACTTTGAATACAAGTATTAATATTTTCGATAATAATTTAGATTATAATATTTGATCTGTCGGATTCTGATTTCAAACATAAATAGCAGCTATAGCCAAAGTTTTCATTAAAATAAGGCTTATCATCTTATGATTGAAGATTTTTGCCGAAAATTCATCTTCGACCTAATCGTTTTATGATTAAAATATCTAAATTTAATATATTTTGACGATTAAATACTTGACTACTCATAGGAAGATATATGTTTGTACATGTTAACAATAAAACAAATAATTAAAGCTGGGCTTATTAATTGTTTTTAATATTTTCTTTTACTTTTTAAACATAAAATTGAAATTTGTTCGTGTAAAATAAAAATTGGTCTAAATAATATTCAAATTAATAATCCCACAAAGCAACAAAAATTCATTTTGTGGAGAAAAACTTACTTTGACTTCAAAATTCTTCAATTCTAATTGTATGCATTATTAAATTTATTAATTTGATGATTAATTCTGACTGTTAAGCGTTAAAATTTATATCAGCTCTCTTGACCTGTCTCCATCAACAGTACAAGACACGTGCTTCAGAAGGAAACGCTCAACACCCAAAGCTATGCTCGAGGAAGAACTGCTTGATATTTTATTCACATTTTCGTTAGTTCAATTTTTATTTGACCTTTTTAATCATTAACTTCAAGTTGGTGTATAATTGGAGATTAACTAATTTTGCATAATAGTTTTCGGTATAATTTTTTCATATTCAGTTATATTTACTTGCACAAATGTCATTTTAGGTAAATGATAAAATATTATTTACACAAATTTATTTGTCTGCAAAATACTGTATATAATTCTAAACAAATTGTGTAATGCTTGAACTAAATTAAATGTTTTATGAAAATAATCACAAAAATATTACATAATAACTTATAGTGAATTTAGGCAAATTGAAAAATAATTTTTTGGTGAGAAAACAAATTATGATCATGGATTATAACGATTTTCTAGCAGATCAAGTTAGATCGAAAAATGAACATAAATTGGTACTCGTGTACTTTTTATTTAATAAAATCCTGATAATAATCGTGCTAATTTTAGTACTTCTAATAACGCTATAATAATACCAATGCTATTAATGTTGGTACTAATAGCACTAGTATTAATAATTACGATAATAATTTTGCAATAAATAGAGTAAAGCTAATTATAGTGATAATGAAGTGACTAAAATTATACTTAATGAATTTGAAATATTTTTTTCCTAAAAATATGAAAAATATGATCAAACGTGGATATAGTTTGTTTAATTTTGCAAAATAAATGAAGAAAAGCTATTTAAGCATTAAATGAAATTAAAAATTTTTTATATGGTTTATTTTGATCGTTTATTTTTGAGTTGTAAAGTAATGCAAAAGTAACCGTAGATGGAACATAATTTATGCATATTTTCATCAAATAAGGCAGTAGAGAGCATACATTGTAATTGAATATGATATTGAGTTCAGAGATATCTCAGTCCATGTAGTAATCAATAAAACTTACTAATAAATGGCTTCTAGACTAAGTAATTAGTTAAACTTCATAACTGCAAAGAAATTTATGTAAGAAAAAAGTTATTACTCAAAAATGTGCCAGACTTTGAAGAAAAATACCAATTTTTTTTCATAAATAAAATCCATTTATTAATATTATATTAAATAAAAGCACAAGATTATAAAATGAACTGAGCGATTTTAACAAAATTTATAGAGCTAATTTGAAATTGTTCAATATGTATTATTAAAGATATATGCATAATTAAAGATATATTGTTCAATTTGTAAAATTCAATCTGTATAATTTTTTAAATTATAAATGGATTAAAAGGATGTGTGCGCAACAATTTTCAGCCTAAAACAAAGGCTTAAATATTAATAAATTTTTAATCATCAGAAATTCAAATAATCAAAATTTATAAATTAATTCCAATTTTCATTGAATTAACTTTTGTGGTAATTTGGTTGAAATAAACTCAGCTAAAAATGATATAAGATTGAGAAAAAAGATAAAAAGCAAAATAATATTATGCTTAGTGTAAATTTGCCTTTCAAACGCTTAATTACTAATTTTTATAGCAAAGAAATAGAAAAACAAAGCAATTAAGCTAGCTAAAAGGCAAGAAATGCATTCACAAACCAATATTTTCTACTCAATAATTCCTATATTAAATGATCAAATTAATTAGACAATTATAATAATTTATAACTAATTAGTGAAATAAATAGTGGAAAACTTTGAATTACATTGTTAATTAAAAAAGTATAAAGTTATTTATGAAACCAAGAAGTAATTATTCAGACTAAAGTTTGAGATTAATTTTGTACTAAAATGTAAGTTTAAAAAGTAAATAAGTGAAAAAATTCAAATGAGATAAAGTGATTGAACGTAAAGGTATGCTGAATAAAACTTGATTATTTCACACAATGTTATCAGTTCAGGATTTTTGAGCTGAACTGATAACATTATAAGTTTGAAAATAAACTTTGTTAGAGAGGTCAGCTGTTTCTTGCGTTTAAACAAGTAATTGTTTGCAAGAACTTGCCCGAAGAATGTGATAAAAATAATTTTAATAAGTTAGTTCTTAAAAAAATGCTCTTTAATTGCTGCTTGAAGTCGTTTCAATTATTGTATCAATTAACCTTTGACTTTTGTTAAATTATTTGTTTTTAAGTTTTATTGATATTTTTGATTGGAATTCTAAATCAAGTTAGCACTTACCTTCGAAGTTTTTAACTTGAAGTTCAAAATGCTGCGTCTATGGATTAAATTATTTGTAAATTGTTGAAATTAAAATAATGAATAGTGGAAATGAAATATTTTAAATCCAATTTTTTTCGTGCAAAATTATATTATTATTAAATTCAATTTATTTTTGTAAAATATCAAAGTGTTCTTCTTTGATTAAAAATTCAGATCAATTTTACACTTCGATGTTTTTGACTTACTTTTTGTTCGAAATTTTTTTGCTTCTGATCCTGTGGATTTCTTAACTGCTTGGCTAAAATTTATTTAGAATAGTGTATTTTTACTATAATTGATAAAATTATGCAAATTCAAATTGACTGATCATCAGTTGATCAGAACAAAGTTATACAAACTCAAAGAGTTATAGCAACAAGGTCAAACAATCCATATAAATTGGTTCGAGTAAGTTTGATAATTGGTTTTTTTAAATTTCCCCATATTCTGTACACAAATTGATAAATGCTATTATGAGTAATTTTTATTGTCTCGATAATGACGTATTTATTACTTTTAATTAATTTAATTACCATTTGGACAAAATTTTTAATCATCATTAAATTGCAGCTATTAAGTTATAGAATCATCTGTGAAGCTGACAAGTTTACTTTTGAATAATTAAGTAATCAAATCAAAATTAGCATTTCTGTGCTTCATTCTTTACTACTAACAGTTTATAAAATTGAATGCTATCTAATTATGCGCAATTTTGTCCAAAATCAAAGTTTTATTATTCTAAAAAAACAGTAAAGAATTTCTGAAATTGTTGATATTTTTTCAATTTTCAAAAAGTTACTAATTATTGGAGGGAATCAATTGATTAAAATAAATTAGTTCTAAACTAATTTTTCTCTCGTTTACAATATTTATCAGTTTTTTCAAATTCTTATCTCAAAATCATTCTTAGTTTTGCAACGTTTAGTTCATTAATTTTGTTGTACTCTTCATTTTTTCAAACAAATTTTTCCGTTTTTTCTTTTTTTCTATTATTTTGACATAAAAATTTGGTTTTTAAACCGTATTATAGCTGATTAATTAAGCAAATTTGCAGTTAGTACTAAAATATAGCTAGTAATTAATTAAAAAATGCTGTTTGTTTTGATTTGAAACTTTTTCAGTTTATAGGATCTAATAAAATTAGCAAGTAACAATGGTACCAACTGCATAAATTTTATTTAGATTCAAACTTAATATAAATAATTAATGATCACTTTTAAATATAATTAATCAGCAAAAGTCAGTATTACGCAGTAAATGAACGTAATACAATATGTAACGTAGTATTACTTTTCTAATGTAAAGTAGGTAAGATAAAGTTTTTAGTTGTTATGCACAAAATGATCAGTTTTGTGGTTTTAAAGTGATCAATTATTCTACGAAAATCATCCAATCGGATGGATAATAATAATTGTAGTTTGTTAAGTAAAAATGCTTTGTTCAAGTTTTGCATTATATTTTACTAGATGATCCGTTATTTTCTGCATTACTGATAAATAATTATTGTTTTTTAATGAATAAAAATATTTTGTATAAGATTTTAGATAGTTATTGTTTTTAAATTAATATTTGATATAATGTTTTCGTGATTACTTCAATCATTGCTATGTAGTTGAAAAAAATGATTAGTTTGAAATATGCAAAAAAAAAAGACTAAATAACTTATTTATTTTAAATCGTAACATATTGTCTTGTTTTTTATATTTTTTATTACAAAAGTTCTACAGTAACTGTATTTTCTAAAAAGTTACTGTATAATAATTATAATTAAATTTTGATAATCACTGAATAATAATACTTTCAAAAATTGATTTACTTTTTTTCTGATAACAAAGTTCTCAATTTTCTTTTCAGTTTTGTTTTTCAAATATAAGTCTTCTTGTTGCTACAAATTTAAATTTGCGTTCAAATGCTTCAAAACCAAAGTTTTACTTTTCAATTCTGTTTTCTAAAATTTTTATAAAAATTTCGCTTTTTGATAAAATCAAATATATCATTTTTATTAGTTTTATTAATGTTTTATCGAGTAATTATTTTGATTTTATTTTTTGACTGTATTCGATCTGAATTTGTCCACTTGAATTTCTTCAGTATTTTGTCCGTAAATTATTTTAAATCATTTTGATTCATTAAGTTTGTCGAATTCTCTCGCTTCAAAATAAAAATGTAAAATTTTTTCTTTCATTTTTTGTTTTTTTTTTCATTTTTTGCTTCAAACTATTTTAATTTTTTGCTTTTAATGCTTATATTAGTGGTTGATTTATGAACTTATTTAACTGATATATGATCGGATATTAATCTGAATTTAAATTGAAGATCAAGCAGGTACCTTTGAAAAGTATTCTCTTTAATAATTAATTACCAAGTCATTAATTATTTATAATAATTACTCTTGCTTTTAGTTAATATGATTACTTTAAAATAGTGCTGTGATTAATAACTTAGAGTTTAATAATACCAGTGAACTTAAGAATTATGATAGATGCGCATAATTTGGCATAGTTGTAATTAAAAGTTTTAAAGTAGTTTTACAATTTAAATGTGTTTATTTAATTATATCGTATTATCTCATAAAATTATATTAGTTACTTTATAAAACTGCAATTTTCTGCAACATTTTATTTTTGATTCAAAAAATAGCTTAGGAATTTCCATTAAAATTTTAAATATCTTTGTACAAAATAACTGTGATCATTTGATATCTTAGTTTAGTCTAAAAAAATTGATCTAACCTTATTCCTAGTGGTTAAGTCTTGAATTTAAAAAATTTTCGCACTGTAAAATTTACTTAAATCTACAATATTTGGTGGACTTTAATAAATGCCTTCTATGTAAGACTTGAACTTACTAATTGTTTTTTAAAATTCAGTCATTTGTATCGTAGTTTTCCGAATAAATAGGTAATAGTGGGAAGGATGCAAAATCAGTTCCGCCATTACTACGAGCCATTTCTGTTTTGCATTACGTATTTGTGAAGAATGAGTTTTGTAAATCAACGTGATGATACGTTGCCGTCGGCGTTACTTGCCAGACCGAGCATACGTCGGGGATCAGTTTTTCATGATTTAATAACGATTTTCCGTCGAAATAGTTCCCGTCCAAATCGATTATTCCGTCGAGTTTCACGTCCATCTACAGATCATTATACAGACAATAGCAATTTGCAAGAGTGAGTTCCTTGTTTGATTGTGGCGTTAAGTACTGTGCCCCATAATAAGTCAAACGTAATTAGACGTAATAAGTTAGATATACTTAAAGTCAATTAGGTAAGGTTAAACGATTATTGTTATATTTTGCTAAAATCTTGTTTTTCATAAAAATATATTTTTTGTTAATTTTATGACTGAAGCAATTTCCGAAATCAAATGATATATCGTGAACAGATAGCTATATTCTTTAGCTATAATGTCGAATTTAGTTGCTATTGACTGCAAGAATTTGAAAATAATCGAAATTGAAAACTGCAAAATTAATACTTTACATTTAATTAATATAATGTCTTTTACTGAGCTCAGTAATAAATATTTATAAAAATTGTTTATTCAAAAAAGATTAAAAAATCAGTTGTTCGAGTTCGAGCACTATATTTAACATAAAGCCTTAAATTATAGCAGTTGTGATGTCTGTGAAAGCAAAACAACATTATTTTTTTCTACTTTGAGATTTATTCTTTATTAGCTTTTGAAGTTTTAGTGCTTACTAACTTTCTTTGATAAAAATTAACTTTAGACAAATATACAACAAATGAAATTAGCATTGCTATCTGATAACATTTTTACTCATTAATTTAATTACCAAAGTGGACATTATATTATTAAGACTTATGCAATTTAATTTAGTTAAAAATGTAATTAAATACAAATATGTATATCAGATACTCATTTTAAAAATTAGAATATTCATTTTAAAGATTAAATGGTTTCAAAGTTATAATATACAAATTATAATATATACAAAATAAGTAATAATATAAGGAATATATACGACATAGCAATTTTGACATACTAAACATATTCATATGTCAAATTTGCAGGACAATTATTGCATCGATGAAAGTTATCACTTTAGCCATATCAGTTACTATCACTTATCTTACTGTTCAATCAGATATTATTTTATGGCACTGTTCTTGAAAGTTATAAAAGTTATTATAATTAAGTATAAAGTCAAGCCAAACATTAATTTATAATAGAGAACTGATTACTTACTTTTGAGATATTCAAAGTAATAAAGCCTTAAATTCGAATGTACTGTAGAGAAACGGAAGTATTTCTCGATCCAAAAGGTCAGGCACAAGATGACAGAATAGAGAACGGTAAACCAATGACCCGGCAGATATTACTCGATAGAATTCGGCAAAAAAAAGAAGGGATTGGAAAATTACGCTGCCAGCCATGGAATATGAAACGGAAACGACGCACACTTCGGTAAAATCTTACCACGTTTTTCTTTTTAAAAAACGTCTTTTCAAAATTTTCTCATAAAATTTCTGATGGCAAAAAATTAATTTTTGTTTGCAAATTACTTTTTTGCAATAATTTCTTCAAATTTAAAAATAAATTTTTGCTAAAAAATTTTTAAAAATTTTTTAAAATTAAGAAATAATGCAAAAAGTAATCACTCTTATGCTAGTTTCTTCTGATAAAAATAGAAATCAAAATTTTAATTTTACATAAAATTCAAATTTCAAGAAACTCAAAAATTACTTTCCCTCCAATAATAATGCAGATTTTATGGATTTGCCCGGCACAAATACCAAAATTATGTTGCGTGAATTAAGAATGGCATTTTTAGAAACTATTACCGTTAATTTTTATACGTAGATCAGACTAAAGAATATTATCGCATGTTTGTACGTGTATAAATTTGTGTAATTTAAATATTCTGAGCGAATTCACGTGTGCTTATTTAAATATTTATTTAACTTAGACAAAAAATCTATTCAACAAAAATAATTGTCAAATTTTATTTTTTAAAACTATTTTAAGATATCAATAATTAGAAAATTTCCAAATTTCTTTGATTTTTCCCTTTTAATTATTTAACTAATTAATTAATCAATTTATTAATTTTTTTAATAACTACACAATTTCTAAGTTTTTTTCTTTGTTTCTCACTTTTTAATTAATTAACTAATTTATTTATTTTTTAAACTTGTTGCAAATCGTTCCACACTGTGCTGTAGTGTTTCATTTTCTGCTATAATTTCAAAAATTTCAAAAAATAGCACTTTGAAAAATTTTTCTGTTTATTTTGCAAAAAAAATTCAAAGTTTGCAGCCTTTTTATTTAAAAACAAAAACAATCTAAATATTCAATGTTTATTTGTTTTCTCAGCCAAGCAAAAAGTTGTGATAATCCATTTTTTCCTTAAAGTTTTTTTCAAAGTGTAGAAAATTATATAATTAACATAAATTATGTAATTAACATAAATTACTTAATTAACACAAATTATATAATTAATATGAATACGATAATTAACACAAATTGTATAATTAACATAAATTATATAATTGATATAAGTTATGTAATTAATATTAATTCGAGTATTTTAATAATTCTTTCGTACAATATATTGAAAATGGAAAAAGGCACACTTTATGCTCCATTTACCAATTTTTTGTATTTTTGAATATAACAAATTTTATGACTCAATTTTTCGATAAGTTTATAGAATGCATTTTGTGGATTGAAAACTTTTCTGATAATTGTTTTAAGTTAATCAGTTCTGTTTAATAAATTCGAAGCTGATTAGCGTGACAAATTATAGATTGATAAACGATTTAATTTATGACCAACAATTTTTTCTTGACACATTACCAGCCATGAATAGTAATACTAATTTGAATATTCCTGTTTTTTTTTTTGCAAATTACTCATTTTATTCACGAAATAAATGATTGTTATTACGTGTATTTTATGATTACTCGTGATTTACGTGAACCATATAACTACAGCCATTTTGTTTTTTCAGATTAGCTCAAAAATATTTGGAACAACACGAATGTCGAGTGTCAAGAACGCACTTGTGTAAGGTAGAATTGAAAAAACAATGGCGAGCTTTATGTCGCTGGGCCGATAACGTGAAAATTTATTTAATACCTTGGGAAGCTAAAATTAAACATATAGAAAGTTTGATTTTTGTTTATTATTAATTTTTCCTACATTTATTTTCATATTTTGACCCTAAAAACTTTGAGAGCAACAGAATCCAAGAGTTCAGATTTGGATGCTCAATAATTTTAGGTCATTTTGGCTCTGTTGTGTCATCATATTTCACGTTTCTTCGTTGGATCGTTTTTGTAAATTTGATCATTACAGTGATTATAATCTCATTCATCGTCATTCCAGAGGTTTTATTTGAACTTTGCTTCTAGTATTCAGCTATTTTTAATATAAGTAATATATAAAAATAAATTGATCGAAGTAAATACAATTTTTCTCTGCATTAATTCAAAGAATAATGCAAATGACGATTATCGCCTAAAACAATAATAATTTATGCAAAAAAATAATCACCAAAAGTGTGAAGCAAATTGCAATGAAATATTCCGTAGTGCTGTTTGCTTTTTAGTCTTCTTTGACTATTTTATTCAAAATTTTTAATCGGAAATGGAATTGAAAAACTGAAAGATATATAATTATATTTAATTGAACATATTTGATAATTCCTTTACAGAATCCATCATGTTTGTTACAGTCTTACCATTAAATACATCGCAATAATATATTTGAGCTTAAACTTTGCAGGACTTAATCTCATCAAGCATTGCTTATTTTTTGAATTCTATTTTCCATTAACTAAATACATAATTTATTTTTTGATTTCTGTAATTTTGTTCACCGAATAAAATTAGTTATAATAAAAGTAGTATTGCCATAGCTGAATTTTAGATGTTAGCAGATGCGACAGCTGATGTAAGTCGCATCAACCGTACTATGTCCAGAAAAGTGATCCCACCAAATGAACTAATCCATGCGGATGAACTACAAGTTGTATCACAATTTGATGTTTGTTTCTGACTAATTAACTTGATTTTTGGGGCGCGAAAATTTTTGCCTCTTAAGAAAAAGATTAGATTTTGCGTAAAAATAAGACCAATTAGGTTAAAAATATTAAAGCAATAAATTTATTATGCAAATCAGATGCTAACACTAAGTAAAAATAATTTTATTGTTATATTTAAAAATTTTTTAAAAACAATGAAATCATAATAAAATAAAACCAAAGTAAAATGAAAGTAATGTCAAATTATTAAATTATTAATAATAACTGATTTTTCTAATAACGATAAATTTGCTACTGATCTACAGCAAAATATACACAAAACGGATTGAAATAATCAAATAAATATATTCTTTAATAGCTCATTGTAAAATACTGGCAATTTTAAAGAACATATTATTAACAATATAGTATTGATTTTTTCCAAGTAAATATTAAAGTGATTAATTGTTTAGTAGTGATTTAAACTTTAGGGTTATTTCAAATATTCGCCATTATTTTACGGTTACTACAGTGATGATGAATTTGTCGGATCACAGATACGATATGCCGTGCCATTGGCTTATTTTATTATTACTTTATTTGTACTAGGATATAGCTGTTTTGCGATTCTCAGAAAGTAAGCATAAATTTTCATCAGAAACTGCAATTTATTTAAGAATATTAATAATTAATACTGATCTAGAGCAAAAATACACACAAAACTAAATAATTGATCAAATAATTACATCTTCTATTAAAAATAAAATTCGACAGAAGCAATATTTATTATTAAAGTTGGAATCAGAGAGAAATTCTAAGAGCAAATAATAATTAAGTTATAATTATGCAAATTTTTGCTGTCAACCAACTAAAGGTTGGTTAAACTATGATGCAGGAAGGTTTAAAAAAAAGGGAAGTTTGAGTTTAAGCATTGATAGAACTAAAGATTTAGCTAGAAAATTAGCTGATAATAAAAGTTTCAGAATGGCAATAAATGCTCGACTAAGTAAGACTTCAGGAAAACGAACGGATCAGTACACATTTACTTGGAAATTATTCAATGGTTGGGATTATACTGTTGGAAACAACGAAACTGCCAGTAATACTACAATGGCAATTATTATTAAACTAAGGGTTTATCATATTTTTGTTACTTTATTTCTGAGAGGAAAAAAATCATACTTTCATAAAGTTATAGACATTATTAACTTACTAATCCTCAGAATGAATCAAAAATGTATTCTGATCATAATTGATCTGATGACTGACAAATCTACAAATCCACTGTAATCCATTATCCATTTACTGAGTATATTTTTTTGTCTCTGTAAAAATAATCATTTTAATTCCATTTTCAATGTGACATCTTGTGAATTTAATTAATAATAATTAATTATAATTAACTAATATCGATTGAGTTGATTATGCATTCAGGAATCAATCGCGGAATCTCGGGTCAATTTGGGTAAAACATTTAAACCACTGCTTTTCCTCGCTCGACTGATAGCAAATGCAGTAATTTTAGCTATGCTTGCATTTTCGATTTATACTATTTCTTTTGCTGTACAGTCTTCAGAAGCAGTTGAAAAAACAGGCAGTTTATTCACTAAAAATCAAGTAGATTCATTTTACATACATTAATTGTTGTTGTAATTTAATTTTTAATACTAATTATTTTATTTATATTTGATTTATATTCAAAATCAATCAGTAAATACGTTTATAACTGGACAAAAATATTTACTGCAAAAATAATTACTTTAAAAATGTATAAAATTTTCGAAGTTAATTTTGAACCGAACTTATTTACTTCAAAAAACATTTTTAAAACGTACACTTTATTTCCATTTAAAATAAAATTAATTTAATACTATAAAATCTAATTAATTAAATATTATAAAAAATTTAATATCATATTAAATTAATTTAATATGATAAAATATAATTTAATAAAATCTGAAAAATAAAATTAAAATTTTGATAGGTTTTATTTGGCGAAAAGTTTGCAATAAATATACAATTTTATTTTAGCTAAGTTTATTTTGCATTTTCACAGGTACCTACAATAATTGCTACCATAACTCATGTCTTTCCAATGATTTTCGACCTTATTGGACAGGTAGAAAGGTATCATCCACGAACCGCCCTTCGAGCACATCTGACGAGGTTATTCTTGCAAATATCAAAATTTGAGTAGTTACAAGTTAATTTTAAAAAGTTATTTTACTTGTTATTTACAAGAAATTTGCAATATGTAGAAATTTCAAAACTAAAATTGCCATAAATTTTTATAAAATATAAAAGTTCTTCGTATTCAATGTGAAAATTTAACAAAAAAACTATTAAAATTGGTATCAGTTGTATTTGTATTTGAAACTATAAATCAATTACATATTTTTAATACAATTAAGTTATTCAGTCTTTACAGTAATGAATACAGTAATTTCACTTCAAGGTAATTAGATTTTTGTGCTTAAAGCTAAAAGCTTTCATAAATTTATTTTAATTAAATTAAAAAATTTTAGAGTTTTGGTTCTTTATGTACTCAATTACATTACATTTATATTTGCGTTATTTGAAAAACTTGACAAAATTCGAGGAAACGAATTTATTCAAATCATCGATGAACGAACAGTTAATGAACGATCCAAACGAATGGTTAATAAACAAATTGTTACTGTTATTGACAGTATTTATTTGGTTTTCATTACAAGTATTCATATTGTTAAAAAACAAATTCAAAAGTGAACAAAATGTTTATGTTTTAATTTTAAAATGTATAAATAAGCTTTACTGAAACTTATTTTTTAGTTAATTTGAAATATTTTAAACACGTAAAATGCTCACAAAAATTTGACTTCTTGCAAAAAATTTGCATATTCAAAATTAAAAGAGTTTCAGAGAAAATTTTTTCTTCTTCGCAAATTTTTCAAAAAGTTTTATTGAATTAAAAATTTTTAAAAATTGAATTCCTGGAAAGATTTTAATTTTGGATTCTCAAAAAACCAAATTTGAGTCAAAATTGATGTGTTTCGATTTAAAATTTTTTAGATATGTTGACCAGACTGAGTTGTTAGTGCTAAAAATGCAGCGATTTTAGTTTAAAATTTTACAAATACATAATTCAACTTCAACTTCAGTATATTAGGTTACCCAGTTCGATTACTTGAGTTCTGCTTGGGTATAATAGATTACTTAAATGTCACGAGATTTATTTTAGAACTAAAAATGAGTATGCGAATTTTCGAAAACAAGTAAGTAGTATGTAGACTGTATTTGAATTCAGAAAACGAAATATCAATTGAAATTGGTAGTTTACGGTTTAGGGTGAAAGATTTTACATAAGGTGTTTGGTAGATAATAATGTTTTATGACCTTCAAACCTTTCTGCTAAAGATAGAATCGGATTATTCTCAATTTCATACTTTCGAGAAAGAAATAGAATACTCTGTGTAACAAATCATTTAAATTATGTGATGAAGATACAATAAATATTTATTGAAATGAACAATAATAATAAAGAACTAGAACTAAATTTTAAAAATGATTATATGGCGGTATTTGAATGCTAGCTAGGATTCATAAATTTTTATTACAGATTCTCGGTAATGAACAAGATTCAACGAAAAGTATATTTGTTAGTCGTAATTTTAATACCAGACAACAAGCTAACTTATTTGCTAAGAAATCTATGGAGCGTTTTACAAATTTTTACGATAAATTACCAAAAATTTTTGAGAAACGACAAAAAAGATCGAGCGGTAGCAAGAAAAATTTAAAATTTCCGCATGGTTTAATGGTAAAACATAAACTTACTAGTATATAAGTAATGCTTTGATTAAAAGTAATTAAGTAATTCTTTGATACTGTATGATTTCTAATTTCAATAAATGGAAACTACCACATTTATAAATTATCGACTACAAAAATAGTTTTTTTTAAAAAACTTTCTAGTAAGTAATTTTTAATGTAATTAATTATTTTAACAAAAAGTTATAATTGTGAATGACAAAAAATAAAAGTGTAATTAGTTATATTCTGAAATTTTCAATCATTTATTTAAAGGTTGAATCACATTATGGCCCTATTGGTTTGAATAATCCAAATGCAATTCTTTTAAATAATAGCTATCTGCCAAATCAAAAAACTTTTCAAACAATCAAAATTGGACCGCCAGCATTACCGACTTTTCCGATTCCACCAATACAAGTGAATCCAAATTTGAATACCAGCATTATTACTGTAAGTAATTTGCGCACTTTTTATTCAAATTTCGAGAAATATCTTCTTTTTCTTTCAGGTGACGGTATGAATAAGTAATGCTTTGATTAAAAGTAATTAAGTAATTCTTTAATACTGTATTTTTAATACAGTGAAAGATGTTAAAATTTGATGTAATAACATTCACTTCTAGCCATATTTCAAAGTTTGATCAAAATTTGACTATCGAATTTTTTCATGATCAAAATAAATCATCAATTTAGCTCAATAATAATTTTTTATTTCAGTCTAAGAACTATCACAAATATAATATTAATTTATAAAATTACAAAATGAAGCAACAAAGCAAATTTTTTCCCTCCAGTAAAAAATGAAAAAAAGCTTGAAAATGCTGAACTAGACTGAACTAGATTATTCAGCTAAACCAAATGGCAATTAAGACTATTGCCCTAAAATTTAATACTAACTGTTATTGCAAAAGTTATCAGAGCATTGCTACTATTATTAGGGATGCTTTTCAAAAAATTAAATATTACATAATTATTAATAATAAATTTGAAGCAGATTCATTGCAGGAAGTTGGACCACATTGGAAATCTCAATCAAAGTGGAAAACTCCTAAAACTATGATTCTAACAACAGCATCAACAAGAATAAGTAATGAAAAATTGCAAAATACAACAAAAACAAGCACAAAAGTAAACAGAACTTCATCGAGAAAGTCAAAGATATCTAAACTACCAAAATTGGCAACTACTATTAATCGCAGTAATTTAACTAGCGGCAAATTTCTGAAATCAAGAAATAAATCTAAAATAATGGATACAGAATCTGAATCCCCAACGTTGCAGGGGGTTCATCATTCACTGACTTCTACTACAAATAAAGAAGATAGCTATGATATGCTTTTTAAAGATAATGAATTATCTAATACCATTCCTGAAAAAGCTACTATTAATAGCACTGTAACTTCCGGTACAATAATTATATTAGATGATATTACTAAACGACCTGAAGTACACTATAATATTAGTAATATTACTTTAGTACAGGCTAAAAATAATCTGCAGTCAAAGACAGTGACAAAAACCCAGCTAATATCAAATGATGCGCTGAAAAACAAATTATGGACTTATACGAAAGTTGCGCATAATACTTCTACTGAAACTGAAAAACAGTGGAAAGAAGGCAAAACAACAGTAAGTAATGTAAGTACGGTAGTAGGAAATTCTGAAAAGAATAAAAAGGAAATGAATAAATTCCTGGAAAAAAATAATTTGCTACAGAAGGATACTCAAATAGTGACTGAGGCACTTCATCCAACTGTTTCTCCGTCAACTGAGGTACAATATTTTCATATTACAAATTAAAAAATGCACTACCGTGATGTAATCTCTAAGTCATACGATAATCACATAGTCATGTAATTTAATATTTCATCAAAATTACAGTAATTTCTACACAGTACATTACTTTGTGTTAATTTAATTCATTAAAACACTGCAGAATTATTTCAATAACTTGGCATTGACAGTAATAAGCGATTATGTCTTGTAATTTCAACGATTTAAAAAATTTATTCAAAAAATAGATTATTACTAAATGATTTTTGAATTTTTTTTGTCAGATCAACTTATTACCATCTCAAGGAATTATTACAAATAACTGAAAATTAAAGTTACAGTGTTGCTGGAAAAGTATCAAAAGTTACATATTTACAAGAAAGTTAAGCTATTTTCTACAAAAACTTTGTCAGCGAATAGCGAAGTGAAAAATACGTATTCGCAACAACTTCTCAAGACAAAAATGCAAATACATATTTTTTATTTAAATAAAATGAATTTAAGACGGATAATAAGTAATAGTTTACTTAAAACTTCAACATAAATAATACTTTTTCATATTTTTTTTCGTCTTTTATAATTTTAATTTTTTTTCTATCTTTTCTATAAAATCAAAAATTTGATAATGCAAACGTTTCATCTGATTTTGTCTTAAAATTTTGTGACACACTGCTAAGTAATTTAAAAAAATACTATCTAGTTAGTAATTGTATTACTGAGATAGTAATTAACAGTTTTCAGTAATACAATTACTTACTAGATAGTAAAGAAATCTGAGCGAAGTAATCATCGAAAAATAATAAAGTCGCAAGACAGAGTTCAAAAATACAGTCATTACATTAATGCAAACTATTTAGTTAATAGTAAAAAATGGCAAATTGTAGAAGATTTTTTCCTACAGTCGTAAAAAATTTTACATAGAATAGGAGGAATTACTAATAAAAAAAAGGCAATTGTATTTTTAGATCAATTTTGAAACGTTTTTTTGAAAAGTAAAGTTAATGTTTCACATCAAAACTTTTCGTTGCAGTTTGACCAAATGACCAAAGGAGTATCCAGAACAATACCATGGGCAAGTTTAGAAGTCCCAGTAGTAGATATAATCAATGGTAAAGTTCTAAAATACCTTTTTGCTGCTGTAATTTTGTTGTCATAGAATGCAGTAAAGTTTATAAGGCATTTTTTATTTACGTAGAAAGTATTGTTCTATGCCTTTGCTACTGTAACATTGATTCCATAAACTTTTAAGAAAAGCTATGATATAATCTAATTAATTAAAGTTTATGCAATAAGTGTGATAGTATTATGCAAATTTTGAATTTTCGAGTCTATGCAATTGTGCTTAATCCTTTTACTTTATTTTTTCCTGTTGATTAATTCTAAAAACATTCTGTGAGCAAATTGTTTTTCAGCTTCGAAACAAGCATCTAAAAATGAGACAGTTCTGGAATTCGATCACAATGCAGCTCATTTTATAGTTGTGAAAAATGAATCTGACGTAGAAAATCACTTTTGTTGGGAAACAATGATTGGACAAGTAAAAAATTATATTTTCTAAATTATAAAAATGTGAATAAATATTAATTATTATTCTTCGACTCAAAATATTATCACCGCTTTTATTTCAAGGAAATCGTGAAACTAGTAACTATGGATTTAGTAATAACTATCGCATCGATACTTGTTATCGACTTCTTTCGCGGTTTGTGGATAAAATATTGTAATTCGTGGTGGTGCTGGGATATCGAAACTACTTTTGTTCGTGTTATGATTTTAAAAAAATATTAAACATTTATCCAGCCAGTTTTTATTCAGAGATTATTAATTCTTTAACAGTTCTTACTGTAGTGATGTCTACTAATATCTGAAAGCATTCGACTGCCTGTTTCAACGAATCTATCATTGCTATCAGTTACAAAAATGTCTGACAAATATCACTTCATAGAAAACGTTAATTAATGAATGACGTATTTTACATTAAACAGAAAATCAATTTATTAATTAATGCATTACATAAAATTAAGTTAAGTAATATTAATTAATTGATTGATTAATTAGAACGGAGAATCTTTCATTTATTAATGGCAGTATAATAATTATTGCTTTTCATCATAAGTATACTATAATATCAATTTGAAGGTAATATTTTTGAAGCTTTTTTCTAATTTTTGGTAATTTTTGTAGTAGAATACTTTATGAACGTGAAAAGACTTAATAGTTTTACAATAAAATTGAAATGGAATTGAATTTTTTTCAGCCGGAATACGGAGAATTCAAAGTGGCAGAAAATGTCCTTCATATTATTAATAATCAAGGCATGGTTTGGCTGGGGTTATTTTTCGCACCGTTATTACCTGCACTAAATAATTTAAAATTAATCATTTTGATGTATATTCGAAGTTGGGCATGCATGACGTGCAATGTCCCCGCACGTGAGATATTCCGTGCTTCTAGGTATTCACTGACCTTTTAAAACCATTATTTAAAAAAATATTTGTCAACACAGTCTTAGCTGTGAAATCAACAATTAAATACTTTTGTATAAATTCTATTTATTAAAAACATAATAATATTATTATGATTTTTGTCCAAAGCCACTTATTAAATTATCAAACAGTATATTCCACATATTTTTGTACAAGCATTATCAGTCAGCTTCCACTTCTCTTTTAATTTTTAAAACGCATATTTGTAATCTTCTCTGATAAGACAAAAGTATCAGAAACCGATATGGGAGCATTCAAAAATCAAATCTTTAGTGTAACGATATGATTCAGAAAATTGATTCATGGAAAAATGCCTAATTTGACGAAATATTTTTTTAATAATTTAATATTATGTGCTGCTATTTCATTTTTTGGAGAAGCCAAACTTACAGTAATGATCACGTTTGTTCAATAACTTATCATCTACTCAATTGCAGAATTCATTCTTCAGTTTTTTGACGTAATCCTTTCAGGTCAAGCAACTTTTACTTAATGGTATTACTTCTATGGTTACTGCTTTGTACATTACCTGTAGGTTATGTAATTGCGTCAAAAAAACCGTCTTCTACATGTGGACCCTTTGCGTTTGTTTTCTTTGTATTCGTGACAATAAATAGCACTAGTAATAATGATAATAAATAATAATAATGATAATGATAATAATAACGATAATAATAATAAATTATAAAGATTATAATATGGTAATAATAAGAAGGAAATAATTATTATAATAGCTATTACGATTATAATTGTAAACAATGATAATAACAATAATTGTTGTTAATAACAATTAAAAATAAAACAATAGTAATTAATAAAGAGAATAGTAACTATTATAGTATTTTTTTCGCATCTAAGCAGGCTTCAAGAAATATTGATGTGCATATAAATGTACATAGATGCTTAAATCTGAAAAAAAACAAAAAACTCTATTTCTGATCATTTCAAGTGATTGTTCGATAACTTAATACTAATCAGTCTGAACTGAAATATTGTGATTTCAATTTGCAGAGGTTATTCAAACTTTTATAACATTTTGACAAAAATGTTAGAGAAACGTGTGGATAGAAAGGTCATGACCTGGATGAGATATATTGCTTCGCCAGGCATTGTTATACCAGTCCTTTTACTTTTAATGTAATTAATTTTGATTAAATTTTGAGAAATAAAAAATAAAAAGTATTGTTGAAAAAGAATTGAACAAGCAATCATACATTCAAAATTACTTATAGAAAAAAGATTTTAATTCTAAGACAAAGTTGTGCTATTTTCTTTTGTTAAATGTCCAGTTCAAGAAGAAAATGATAGTACTTGATAATAGTTTAATTAATTATTAAAAATAATTTTTGCTTCATTTAATTAATTCAAAAATCTACGTCAGCAATTAATATTAATGCGTGATTATTTACGTGAGCATCGTGCTAAATCGGTAGCAAAAGTAAATTTATGAGTTGAAGACTCTTTTTAATCAGAAGATTTTTGAATGTAATTTAAAAAATTAAAAATTCGTTTCATGCTTTTTTCAGGTTAGTTATTTATTTTTTGGTGTCTTTAGTTCGAGGACTGCGAAAAGCTAATAACGATCTTCAGCAGCAACTTATACACGTAAGTTTCTTATGGATAGTCTAAAGATAATAGTAGTCCAAATGGTCTTAGTTAGAATAGTCCTTGAGATAGTGGTAATATTATCATCATTAAGTGATTATATTAGATTCATCTTCATGATTTGGTAGGCAATTTTAGCACGTTCAATAGCAGTGCTGTGTTGAACAAAGTCAAAATTACTTACGTGAGTAAGTTGTCGCTGGAGATAATATGCTGTGAGTAATATGCCTTAATTTTATCAACTTGATATTGTTGTGAAGACTGATATTAGCGAGTGAATTCAGCAAAGACTCTAGTGATTCAGAACAAATATTAAGTTTTTGCTAAAAGTAAGTGAAATCTTAGAGTAGTACTTGTTTTGAGGAAGTTTAAACAAATAAATGCGTTGATCTATGCTGATTGATTTTACTTTTAAATTTAAAATTAATCCTTCCGGTATTGGAAATATTTGAAATATACAGGAAAGAACAGAAGAAAAAAAGAAAATCTTCGAGTTGGCTGGAGGCACAAAAAAAAAATTCACTGAAGATAATGAAGACAGGAAGAAGCAAGCTGTAGCTTATCTAGCTTTAGCTGAACAAAATCGACATTATCACCAAGTATTACTTTTTGATCTGTAAAATCAATGACGCTTAAAAAATTGTTCATTACTTTGTAAAGAGTTCATGATAGATTTAATTTACTACTTAAATAATTTAACTTACTGTTTAATAGACTTGATTTACTATTTTTTTTACCTAACATTACTTTAGCAAGGTGACAAGTCAGATTTGAAATGCTTTGTTCAAAACACGTTGTTTTGAGAGAGAAAATACAGTGAATCTAACTTTACTAATGATACTGACAAATCATAATAAGTGTGTAGTAAGTAAAATTAGTAATATTTGTTTATACATGTGGCAAAGCAAGAAACATATACTGTACTAACAGTGATATCAGTTGAAATTCTGATATCACTGATAACATCGATATTATTTACAATACCTATCATTATTTGTGTTTTTTTCATTTGGTTTACTTGTATTATAACGTTTGCATTTGAGATGAATTACTTTTGTGGTACATATTTTTCATTACTTTGACAATAGTAATTAATTTCAGCAAGGAGAGGATTCTTTAATGCACATGACTGATGAAGATTCCTTAGTGATATCTTCTGAACCAAAACTACCACCTTCTATAACAAAAACGCAGCCAACTGCATTTCAGACGACATCACAAGCATCTAAGAATCCTTTGACATCTGAGCAGCAAGCAATTGCGTGAGTTCTTTGAATCCTTAATAATTAATAATACTTTTCACATATTTGAAAATTTTGGAATTTGGGGAAACTTTAAAATCTACAAGTTAGGTGGAAAATACACTTATTGAATACTATCAAACTGCAGAAAGATTGATGATATATGTGTGATTCTTGATGATAATTGAATCAGTACATTTTAGTGAAAGAATTATTTTGACTGCAAAATGTTTGTATATTAAAAAAATAAGGGGACTGAATTTTTAAAAATTTCAGGAAAGAATACTATAATAATCCAAATTTTAACGTGATGGACACAAAGTTGTCTGTGCTATCAAGTAAAAATCAACCTGATCGAGCAAGTGATTGGTTCAATTATGATGAAAATGAAATTAGCACTAATAGCATTCAAGATAATGTGATTGAAGAAGCTACGGTAGAAGACATAAAGTTAGAATCATTCATAAAATTTTAACACTTCTTAAGTTAATATTGTTTTGAAACTTTAAGTAAAATATTCAAGTATTACTTTAGAAGTTTTGTAATTTATTTAAAAATTTATTGCTTTTTCCGCGTTTAAAAAATTTCAGCATGCTGCTTTGTATAATTGAATGTTTTTAATTCATAATAATAGAAGAAATTTTAAAAAGTTGAAATTTACTAAATTCAAAAACCTCTCTTTTTGTTAATAAATACTGTAATAATTGATTTACCACAATGTAACAAAATACAGATTAAATCATCGTTTTACTTTTATTGTTAATTTTCTTTAACAAAACGTAAGTAATTTTATACGTTAATTGAATGAATCAGTGAATTATTCAGTTTCAAATTAAAGCGGTTTTCTTAGATTTGAAATATTGAAATATATTATTTTCTAAAATTATGTATAAAAGGTTTGTGTGACTCAGTTATTACTGTCAAATTAACAATCTTTAAATAACTTAATCTCACTGTTATCCTTTTTTATCAGTATAATATTCTGATGAGTGATCAAACTGTTGTAAACGAAAAACCAACTTTTTTTCAACTTTACATTCAAACTTACTTTTTTTTCGGCTGCTAAATAAGAGGAAAACTTTTGCTACACAATTTTAAACTGTGTATATTTTAGCAGATAAATTTTCAGTTTGCCGATCACTGATCCATCATCATATCCAGAATACGAATATGAAGCAGATAAGACAGTATCATATAAAGTAACGAAATCTACAGTTCCTATACATCAATCCAACGAATTCATAATTCCTGAGCAGTATGCGACTTCATCTGCATCTAGGAATACCACTGACATGGATTTTGAACCATCAATATTAGATATTTCTGAGATTCAAATTGATAAACCAGGAAGCTTTTGTGATTCAAAGAATGCAAGGTTTGAAACCTTTGATTGTAACAAAAAACTCATCGAGTACTGCACATTACTATTAAAGAATTGCATGATAAAAAAAACAATGTTTTCACAATCAGAAATTAATTGAAATTCAGTAATTAGTCAAGAAAAAATTAAATTAGTAAAATTAAATTTGAGTTTTTGAAAAATAAAATTTTGTATTCAAATTCAAAGAAATTTAATGCATGAAAATTTGATATATCTATTAGTAGTAAATCTTCTGAAGTGGCTACAGGACTAATATTAACAATGATGCAAATCAAATTTCCACTCTTTGGTCAGCTAATGCAAAGGAAAAACTTGAAATGAAACATGCTGAATTCCTTCCACAACAAAAACAAAAAACTGAAACGAAGGACGATGGTCACTCAGGAAGAAAGTTAGCCCTTCAAAAATGCGCAAACACTGCTGACTTTGAAGTTTGTTTGTATTTTTTTACTTTAGAAATCATAATAATAAATGATGAACGTTAGTAAGAATTATTAAAATATGAACGATTTAGACTTTTACTGGAAATGATTGAAAACTTGTTGATTGAATTTCAGTATGTATGATTTTTATCAAGTAATCAGTCATTGTTTTGTGACTGATAATAATTTTTTGATTCATTCAATCAAATACAATACAATATTAACAGTGTTAGGAATATGATTAAGGCTATTTGAATATATTCATTAAGCTTCAATTGCATTGCAACTGTTGCAAATTAATTTTAATTTGACCAGTGTTGGAATCTGAAGTGATAATAATTTATTAGCAAAATCCACCCAAATATCTGTTTTAGAAAGCAAAGCATTTGATAGTTAATTTAGAGATTTATTGTATAATGTGAGATAATTTCGATTGTCAGTTTTATAATTTTGGACAATGTTTCGGATTATCAGAAGAACTCTATTGTAATGCAAGACATTTAGAATAATGTTCCTACTTGTCATCAGCGGCGTTTTCGAATTTCTGTATCGCCATTAAGACGCTTTTTACCTCACACTGATCCATCTGAAAGCGATACAGATACTAGGTAAAAAGTAAAGTCTTATTCTTAAAAATATGCTTTTTTGATATTTTTCTGTACACCTTCAAATTAATAAGTTTAAATATTTTTATGTGATATGGATCTAGTACATGTTTATGAGTCAGTTCAATGCATTTGAATTCCAGTACTGGGAAACGTCGTTATCTTATCAGACAAAAATTATTGCCAGATTCAACAATGAGCATTAATCTGGGAATGGTCGAATCTGACAGCAATAACATCGATTCTCAATAAAAAAATCTTCCAGAATTGTCAAGCTGGAAGTACTACTCTCAAATTTTTAATCTTAATCATTTCTATGCTTATTATTTGATCGAAAGATTCGTTATTTTTATCTGCCATACGAAATTTCGCTAGTACGAACTTTTTTTTTGAATTACTTAAATATTAATATTCTGTTATGTGCATTTTTCAAAAGTCATCCATATCAGTGAATAATAATAAATTTCTTTAATTATCATACAGAGATCAAAAACGAAATTCAATCAATATTGGCATCTGAAGGCTCTCAAATAGGCATATAAATACCTATTTGAGAGCCTTCAGATGCCAATATTTAGTGCAGTTAATCTGAGACGGGAATCAACGACGTTCCTATTCTCAAATTTGATACATTTTCAATGCATCTAAAACTAGCATATCACAAGCAGCATTTGAGATTTGAGAAAACTCGATAACTGCGATCAGCATGCGATAATGGTAACAAACTATGTTTCCGATCAGTTCACGGATAGCAAACTATGTTCACTTAGGATGTGATTTATGAACTGGAATCGGAATCCTTTCTATGAATATTAAACACAATGATTCATTGTAGTGATTCTGAACTCCAGGACAGTTTTTGTATTTTTTCGTGCAGAAACAAACTGAAAAGCAAAAAGCCTTCAACAACATAAAATACTGTCCAACAATCATTTAATCTAATTTGTTATAGGACGAAATCCCTTTCCTTCAGGCATACCAAATCACAGCTTTTCATTTTGCAAGCTTGTTTTCCATCTTAAAAAATCACAATGAAGTATTTATGCATAATATTCCATACTTTGTGGGTCATGCATAGATGCTCAGGAATGAATTTAATTACTCTTATCAGCAAGTTTTCTAGGGAAATATTCGAAATCTGTCCTATAACTTTTTATTTTATGGCTGTGTTGGTAGATCTGATCTATGGCTTATTCGGTCTTCATATTTTGTTACTATTAAATATAACAGATTAGCAAATCTGGTGAATTCGAACAAAGTAATCAGTGGTTGGAAAAGCAATCAGTGAGCATTTGAACAAATAATGTAGTTCTGCTAAGACCTATTGCATCTTAGCTAGCTTAATTAATGAATGAAAAAAGTTGAAATGAGAATATTCATAATCTTAGTATCATAGTTGGTCTACTGCTAAAAAAGTCTGTATTGCATGCAGAATATAAATAAATCTCTATTCATTAGCAAAATAATAAAACAAATTATTTCATTCTTAGCAAGTAAAAATTTAGGATTATTACTTTTAACGAAGAGACAAGTTTGATCGTCGTAATATCACCACCAAAAAATATTACTTTCCAAGTGGTAGATGATGACCTTCCGTAGGTTTGATTCAATTATCTTGTACAAGTGTAGCTGATAATTCATTTAATGATGCTTGCTATTTAAGTAAACTCTGGCCATACTTGATGTAACTATTGTAGTTTCGGGTATGTTGGTAATCAGAAATCACCTAGTAATTACTTGCTCTTTCAAGTAAATTATTCGAGTGTAAGCAAGAAATTTTTAACGATAAGTGAAGAAGTTACTGCTTTTGCCTTCCAATGTTGTACTGAAAACCTGTCGTTTGCTATATGAAAGAGTAAATGGAACAAATCCACATTCATGACAGGCTATTGCACCTCTAATTTAGCTGTCTTCAATGTTCAGAAAGAATAAAACTGCAGGAGATATCATATCTGTTAGTCTCACACAAGGCTAACTGAATCATACAAAGCGCCGAGACACTCTCGAAACCATAATGTCACACATTTCCTAAGTAAAGAGCTGTTAGAATCATCGTCTTCTCATAATGATATATATGCTCAATATATTCCTTTCAAAATTTCTACCTGAAAGCACAGCAATGTGCAATGTGAAGGGAGAATGAATCTTATGCTGCTCTCAAACGTGACAGTTATGAGAGGCTTTAAGCACGCTGACAAAACGTGCGACAACTTATGAAAGTACAGCCAAAAATTATGAGTATTGATGTGTATTTAAAATGCAGAGCGACAGATTTGAGATGCTTAACGAGCGGTTTTGTAAGAAACTAACCGAACATCTGGAGGAATTCATTCCAGAACATGAAGTGCATGATTTCCCTCTGAAGCCGAGTTTAGGAAGATAGTTTCCTATATGCACAACCGAAAAGCTGCAGGGCCTGATGGAGTCTATGACTTTTTTATTAAAAATTGCACCTCTTTGCATTCAGATCTGAACAAAAAGCAAGAAGGACCTGCTTGGATGGGTAGCAACAGAACCGACGGTTCTAAAAAAGAAACTACCTACCCTCAATTACAAGCCATTGTGATGGTCCCTCTCTCTAAGACACTCAGCCATAAATCACATCTGTCAGAATGAAGCACACATTCACTACCGGTCAGTCAGTGAAATGAAATTGCAGAGAGCGAAACATCACTTTTAACATTGGCCAGAATTACTCATAGAGGTTTAGCACAACACTCAGCCCCTCATTTTCTGCATTCTTTAATTCAGTACAGTCCTCCAAAATTTTGGAGGGGAATGGAACATTTGCACCATGCTAAAATCTAATCAACCAGCTAGCTGGATTTGTTGCATATCGGTTATTGTGAGCTTTTATTTGAAGCATCCTAATGCAATGTATTGTAGGATTCAGCTTACTTGCAAAATAGATTACAAGTTGTATAAATTGTCGACAGCTACTTGTTTACTGTTTCCTGAGCACTTCCAGAAAATCATTCACGAAATTGCGACATCTACTTCACGTAAATGCGAAAATGCAAACATGAACAGAAAGACACAAAAGTAAGATGCAATCTTTAATTTGAAACTTAATATATTTGCACAGAAGTGATACATCACTATCAAAAAAACTACACTTCTGAATTATTTTATTTAATGCTATATATGCAAAATATGAGATAGATACATATATATATATAATCATTTCAAACTAAACTTGAAATAATCATTTTTAGGACAAAATTAACAACACTCACAACAAATTAGTTCAAAAGAATAACTTCTCTCAGTCAAGAAAATGGATGAATGAAGGAAGGACAAACAATTCTAAAAGAGAGAAAAGAGTATTACAAAAAAACTGAAAACACGTATAAAGTTACAAAATACACTTCAATATCAAGACACAAATGCAAATATTACAAATAAACTGCAAAATAATCTATACAAAACACTTCTACAAAAACAGGAAAAAAAACGCACTAAGTGGATAAAAACAATCAGTAATAAATATTAGAACATATTAAAATCAAATGTCATAGAAAAATAAATTAAAATAACTACATATGTGTTATTGGTTTCTCCTTTCTGTTCAAATTCAGCCTCGTTTTTTCTACTCAAAAATTTTCTCGTTACTTACTAGCGTTTCTCGCCTTTCTCTTTGGCTGTTTTATCTGCTAAGAAACCTATAAATAAGCCACTAGAAGTCGAACAAATAAAGCAAATTTGTGTGTTACGTAAAATGAGTAAAAATGAATCGAAAATAAAAACATATCAATAAGTTAAAGTATCAGAAAAAAGAAATACCATTAAATACTTAGAAGTTTGCAGAGGATCTTTCCACTCCTATTTCCAAATATTTTTTGATGTTGTTGATTTCTTCATCGATGCGATCCCAATTGCATTAGCTATATTATTATTATCACTGGTCATGATTAATTCTGACCGATCAAACTGAAATAAATATGATGTCATGCGCGATAATTTGAGGTGCATAACAGCGCTTTACGAAATAAATTCACTTTCTTAGGTTTCAATACCATATTAGTACTATTAATTCATTATCCAACCTGGGATGAACAGCTGCCTTGTGAATTTCATCTTTTCTAGCGAGATCCAATTGGTGCTATCGTTTTCTTTATTCATAACAAGCGCTCGGACCCCAATCGAAGATATGGAGCTCTACCGCTGCCTCCTTTTCAGATGCATCGAATGTTGGTGGCAAAGCCAAATAATGGCCAAACCTTGAACAAAAGTCTGAAAAACTATGCATCAGTAAAATAGAGCAATGTTTAAAAAAATATCTTCCAAAACTATACGATTAACAAGTAAATAAAATTGTATTTTTAAATAAATACCGTCTTTCTTGTGCATCTTTGAAGCATGCATACGCCATCCTTTGAGCGTATCAAAGTCACGTTCCCAGATGCGACAAGCTGAAATTTGGATTGTTTTTAGTGTTTTTAGCAGACTGAAAGAACAGCAGAATTTTCTGAATTTTTTCATTTGTAATAAAATAAATACTTACTCAAATATGAGTGCTCACCATTAGTGACCACTTTGTACACATCCTGCGACGTCTGGTCAGGCAGGATTTCAACATTTGCAGCCCGAAAAGTTCGAGGGGCTGCAGTAGATCGCACTGTTCGGGAGCCTCGTGCTGGAATGTGGACTGTCCGGTTTCTCCTGTAAAAAATAAAAAAAATTTACTTTTGGGATGAGTGCAAATTCGATCACAAACTTCTCATTAAAAATAAAAATTATAAAAACTTACAACACTAGCTCCCGTATTTCTTCCTTCGGCCCTTTATCGACCTCCATTGGTATCTCGGAAACCTTGGTGCTTTGTTCAACTTGAACGGCTTGCTCTTGAGATGACGTCCAGTCATCAGGGAGCGAAGCCAAAGTCACTTCTTCTTCAAGAAAGCCGGGTTCTTGCGGTGTCGGTTTTTCCTCCACTCTTCTGCCGATGCTAAGCTCGGCATGGTCACGAGTGGCTTCAGAAGTTGAAAGCCACTTATCGAACTCCCTCAGTCGCTGGCGGAGCTTGTCTACTAGCTGAAATGATTTTAATGACTAAAAAATAAATAAAAGTGAAACACCACAATAAAAGTTTAGAAATCACACGATGTAATAATTTACTAAATACCTCTGTAACGCCAGCTGTATATTGAAGGAGAGTCTGATGCATTACTGTCTTGCTCTCCAAATAATTTAGTATTGTCAGAGTGTCGATAAGTGCACAGTTCGCCATATCTGAAACAAAATTATATATTCTTCTGAAAAAACAAACATCAATCAAACACACTTACTACCAAATTGCATTGTCTGACATTTAAGTCCAAAAAATAAATACATTATTATATAGTTGTAAATAAATTCCGGCACTATCAATCCCAAGCCGCAACCAGCACACATACGGTATCTACAAATGTGACAAGTGTGTAAGTGTTCCCAAGCAAAGTGTAAGAATTCTAGGACTACGCTTTGCATATCTGCTACCTCTTCGAAATCCAGCTTCTCTGCCACACGGAAAACAGTTACTTGTTAATGATCAATGTCTCATTTTGAACCTGTCACAATTTCCCTCTCACGAATCACAGAACTTCAAACTTCGTCCTCGTTCAGTGCCTTCGGTTCACTGATCAGTTTAGGTTAATCTCCATTTTGGTACTCAAATCGCTGATTGCATTCATGAAGTGAGCAACTGTTTCCTGCTATATCTGCTAGTAATTACTATAAAATATGAAATACGTCAGTTCAGGCTTGATTAGACAAGTCTTTTGCTATAAACTTAACAAAAGTTTGTTTGGAACAAGTTTATTTCTGATTCGTTTTGCATTGGTAAGAAACTGGTAATTGGTAGAGCAATGATACTTTCACGTTGCTGATAAAATTAATCTCCACCTGATATAGCAGCGCCTTTATCTCACTCATGCTGACTTACTTCATGATCATTCGATCTCTTCCACATGCTATCGCAAATCATTGTGTCATTGCTAGTCAGTGGATAAGTTGGGTTGGTTCTGGTGTATGAGTAAATGTTTTGCTGTAGGATCAGGACATTCTTCGGGTCATTTCTTAATTTCAAGTCATGAATGCAACCAAACGTTCCTTTCTGAGAACAACAAATTTGAGTTAGCTTGTTGAACATTCTTTTCTTCTAGTTTGAGATGTTTACGTTTAAATTTATTTACATGAACATACAAAGTTACACGATATGTTAAGAGTTGCGTAGTCTAAAGTTTTGAGCAATTTCAGAATGATTATTTTGGACAGTTTCGATTTATTATGTGTCAAGAACGGAAAGCTATCTCTACTCAATACTTCTCTGTGTAGGAGCAATACTGATCATGTCCCCCATTCAGGTTACGTTTTTCGCAGTTGATCGCAGTCCTATAAATTAAAGGCATCTCTTGTCTGAGACTGAAACTATCTATCAATGATGATAAAAAATGAGCATTTTCTGCAGTGATGCAAGAATACACAAAAGAAAAATCATTTGCTTGTCAATCGTGCAATAAGCTCTTTTCAAGCGTAATGAGTATCCAGTAATGAGGAAGCATCAAATGCTTTACAAACAAGGAAAAAATGTTGCACAGTTAGTAACATAAGTATTTCTTGTTCAATTCAAACGCTGGTGATTACTTCTTCACAAATTTACGTTCTCCTATATACGTCCAAAACAACGGAAGAGGCACAATCCAATCACATATAAAGAGCATCAGACTTTATACTCGAGCCAACTCTATTCTATCTAGCCTTTCAGTAATCCTCCAGCACAGAGAAGAATCCAATACAGACAGCTTTCTGTTCTTGACACGCAATAAATCATTGCTAAGCGTTGATGCAGAGCAAAAATGATCTCTTTTTGGTACCGAAACAGCATAGGAAAACAGTGAATAACCCGACGGAGTGATTTATTGCTACAGGCAGCTCTCCATCTGCTAGAGAAATTCAGGCACACTAAGAAGAGTCATTCCGCTGTCTGACGGCTAATAACACCACTTTTAAAGTCTGGCAGTGAGAATCATCACCCAACAAAATAAGCATTAGCATTTAGAAACATTACATTGGATTAGGACAGAAAGACTGTTTTGTTTGGTCTTCACACCAACATCTTTGTTTGACCATACGTTGCTCTACATCGCACCTCGCATCCCTCAATTTATTCTACATGTTATTTCAATGCGGGAAGTCAATGAGTCAGCAGAAACTTTTGATATATTATAGCAAA